CGTCGGGGAACTGGATGGTGCTCTCGCCACTGGTGGACACCAATGTGGGGGCATGGCCATAGCCAAAGCCCTTGGGTCCGAACAGCTTGCCGTAGCAGGCGCGGCAGTGGATGTCGCCGTCGGGTCCATCGCAGGCCAGCACCGAGTCCAATGGCCGATGGCAATCGCTGCAATTGTAGCACTTCTTGTGCCACACCTTGCCCTTGGACAACTGCTGTTCGGCGGCAAACACGGCTCCTCCGCACCGGGGACAGCCCTCGCCGTCGCGTGCCTTGATCGACGTGGTGTCCGGATTGTAGAACGGCCTGTTGGCGCTGATCTGATCCTCGGTCAGGCCATCGGTCTGCAGGAAACCAGAGCCGCAGGCAAAGCCATAGCCATGCGGTCCCCACTTCTTGCCGTAGCAGGTGCGACAGTAGACATCCCGATCCGGACCATCGCTGGCGTTGATCGAGTCCAGCGTCTTGTGGCAATCCTTGCAGTTGAAGCACTTCTTGTGCCACTCCCTGCCCTTGGAGAGCTTCTTCTCGGCCTCGTAGACAACGCCGCCGCAGCGTGGGCAGCCCTCACCCGGACGGGCCTGGATCTTGTCCACATCGATGGCCGCCCGGATCTGCGGTGCTCCATCGTCGTGGGCATAGCAATCGGACTGCAGCGCGCCACCGCCCTGGCCATAACCGTAGCCCTTGGGGCCAAACTTCTTGGCATAGCATCCCTTGCAGTAGATGTTCTTGTCCGGCGCCTCGCAGCACAGGATCGAGTCCAGACCCTTCTTGCAGGTGCCGCACTTGAAGCACTCCTTGTGCCAGCTGCGTCCGCGGGCCAGCATCTGTTCGGCGGCGTACACGTAACCGCCGCACCGGGGACAACCCTCGCCCTCCGGCGCACGGGCAATGGCCCGTGGCTCCAAGCGTGCGCCGTTCCTCACCGACGTCACGTCGCCGTTCTCGCGCAGAAACTGTGACCCATTGTCCATGGAGAGGGTGCCGGCTCCGGTGCCGAAGCCATAGCCCTTGGGTCCGTACTTACGGCCGTGACACGTCTTGCAGTACAGCTCGCGTTCGTGCTCTGTGCAGTTGGTGGAGTCCAGCGATTTGTTGCACATGCCGCACTTGAAGCAGTTCTTGTGGAATACATAGCCGCCGGCCAGACGCTCCTCCGCGGCATAGACACTCTTGCCGCAGCGCGGACACTTGGGGGCCTCGATCGGTTGGAAGGAAGGCATTATGTATGTGTGTGTTCGGTGTTTCGCTATCGAAATGATCTACTCGAGTACAATTACTATATACTTTATCAAGTTTATTATCTGAAAGTGCAGAAAAAGAACACATAGAGTCGATGGCACCGTTGGGGGTTTGGCGGTTGCTTGGGGGAAACTTCTGAGGTGATGAAAGCGGTGAATGAGGTAAGCACCTGTCATGTTTAAACATTAAATGTTTATACTTTTCAATCTTTATTGCTTTAAATGTATACATTTACTGGTTGATGATCGCAAAAAAAAAAAACTGCTAAAAATATAGAAATCATCAAAGTATCGCGACGTGTTTTTTTAATTTATAAAAGAATAAAACTTTCAAAAAGCTTTTGAACTTGTTTGCTGAAGGAAAAACCTTAATAAAAACTCCTAAACAGTCAGCGATCTAATTCTATCTTCACTTGGTTTTTTTTATTTTTTAAAGGAACATTTACTTTTGTACTTGTAAAAAGTCTTGTCTTATTAACGCCGTTTCTCAATTGAGATCGAATCCCTTCATGTTTTTTTCGAATTCAAAATTACGTCCGACAATTTTCTCCTCAATTTTCATTATGTAGATCATCTATCAAGATTCTTATCTGTCAGTCGAGACGTCATAGCTCGTGCCAGAAAATTACCCAACCGGACGTATACGTAATACATATAGAAGATTCTTATGTTAATGATCAGAATAACACAACTAGAAACGATTTTTTTATCACAGAAAACAGAGGAAAACATGAGCAATAAATGTGTATCTATACAGAATATTTTGTTTAAAAATAACGCAGACAGGTAGAAAGATTGGGGAAAGCGCACACAAAAAAAAAAAAATTACCGCCTCTATGACAGATATATAGATCAGGCTATACTACAACTGAATCAGCTTGAAGATCGTCCCTGGCCGGTAATCCGGTTATCTAGCGGTTGCGATGGATTAGTCAGGTGCGTTGCAATAATGCTGTCAGCGTGCAATATCGGTTAGAAGCTGGCGATATCTACCCGATATGGGGTATATAGATAGCTGCACCAATTCGACGGATAGAACGGAACCACCTACAGCGTACTAAAACCACACACGGAAGCGCCGAGTACTGAACTGGAAGATTGCTCAAAGCAAACTAGTCTATATAATTGTGAGTGCACACGGCACACGGCGGACGACGACTTTTCGCCGCTGCCACTGAGTTTTCCTGCTCAGCTCTGTGTGTTGAGAAACTTTAGATGCGGCATCACGGAGCATTTTCCTTCGTTTCATTTCAGTTTTCAGTTTTCATCTAATATCGCCAGAGAGTGGGATGGAAATATAATGGTATTGCTTGGGTATCTGCGGTTTTTCAACTTATTTTGTGCTGCTTGGTTTGAAGAAAAAGTTTTTCATTTTTCATTTCATATTCCACGCTCGCCGCTTCCTCTTGGCCATTTGTGTTTTTTATGTTCGCTTACTTTGGGAAAAATGTGGTGTGAATATTTTTTGCCTGGGGTAGCGCATTGTAGAAGACAAGATCGGAAAGTATGCGGTGCAAACTGGGTTCCTTCATCAAAGAATCAGACACCTGGGAATTTGTTAATATTGCCGACTACATTTAACTAATTGCTTTCACCGTTTCAAAATATATTTACACTTATTTATGAGCACTTGAAACCCATAGCTAAAGTTAAGTGTTGTGTTTATTTACGATTTGCAAGAATTATATGTATAAAGAACGAGGAAGTTCTTTTATTTTTGCTTACTGACTTTCAAGTTTTATTCACAGGACTGTGTAGAAAATTGGATTTGCTTATAGAAATTTGAAAAAAATCTTAGTAATTAAAAAGTAATATATTGTTGAATATTCTTTTTAAACTATATTACTCTTATAACCACATTAGATCTTTTTCAAATTGACTTTTTCCGCGCCCACTGTTCCGCGTTAAAAAAAACTCCTCGCAGACAATTTTCATTTCATTGAGTCAAAAAGCTGCGGGGCAGTTTTTTTCATATACAAAAAACAGAATCTATAAATAATAGTGTGTGGGAAAAATGCTTCCTCTGTGGAGCCACACATTCCTCTCATTTCTGGGTCAAATTATGGTCCACATTACACACGAGTTCTAAAATTATACGGACGCTTAACTCATTGCACCTTTAACCGATGTTTTTAAGCAAGTTTTGAAGTTATTGTATTAGGTGTGGTTTATGATTGAGGTTTTTTTTTTTAGGTTTTAAAACAGATATTTACTTTTCGTTCGTAATAATAAGAGTCGCAGAAGAAATATCCTTAATTTTAGTTTAGCTTCGATTAACAACGATTTTCGACTGATCGCGCTGAAAAATTTGTCAAGCGCTTTGAGTCTTTGTCTGCACACGGCACGAAGGCGACGAAATCGCCAGAGACAAACGATAGGGATGACTATATGGACGGCAAAGCACCAACAATAAATATATTGGCGACCCGAGCAACAAACAGAACAAAAAACAAAATATCTGCTCTCACGTATATGCACAGGCATATACATATATAATAGGCATATGTATGCTTTAATAAATTTTACAAATTTATATTTTCTAGCAGAATATTCCAGGTGGAGGTGCTCATGACAAGGCGAAAAAGAATTGATGTTGCTGTTTCATTGGATCGACAACATGGTTCAACTGTCTTGTTCAAAGTCACAGCCTGTCTGTCGGTCGGTCCATCAGCACTTCAACAACATCAATAAATTAACATGCGCATTTGCATTTAATTAAAATTCGATAATATTTTACCATGCATTTTTGGTTCAAAAGAAAATTAATGGGGCATAGATACATTATTGGGCATCAATCACATCTGAAAAATAGAAATAGTCATCACGAGTCATCAACCCGACCAAAGAATACCCTTTCAAGGGCACTGGTTAACCAGTAATGTTGCTTTAAGTTCTATTAAACTCGTATCAGGTATATAAGATACATAAGTATTAAGTTAACCATTATTCTTAACAGTAAATTATAATCTTTTGATAAAATAAATGCAAAAATAACCCTGAAATATGAATAGACTATTTATACTGAAATCATTCCCGATGGTTAATAACTTAATAAGGCAATATTTATTGCATTTTTTTTACCAATTTGCATACTATTTTTAAGCAAAAGGCCTTTAACAAAGTAGAAACAATTCACTCAACAAAAAATAGAGGTTATAGTTTAAATAACATATATATACATATATATTTAATTTTTTTTTATAAAAACAAATAAATATTTTTTAAAATTAATAGATTAAAATACCGTACATTTCAAAGGGTAGCATTGAAAAAATCGAAATTCTTTTAAAACTGTGTGTAACACCTTTTGTACAATTATCGCACACCTTGCGCTTTCGACAGAATTTCTTAAAACATTTTTACATGCATGTGTAATTGCATTTTCCTTTTATAAATATGTACAAAATATTGGCAAGGCGTCTGCGTTCAAAACTTTTGACGAGTGAAACGAATATAGTTGTACTAAAAGTACACAATTTTCTCTGTCCTGCTCTTTAGGTTAGATCAGAGAACAACAACAAGTGTAAAAGATAATGGCCACCATCAAAAAAAACGGCAACATTGTATGTAAGAAGAGATTAAGAAATTTCGAGAAAAATAACTCAAGAGATGCCAAAGGCCTCTTAAGAGTCAAAAAGCTCTTCAAAAACTTGACCATCCTTTTGGCAAGGTACTCAAATTGTTTGTTCATTATATTAGTAGTTATTATTATTATATTTTAAACATATATTTCAACAAAATGTATAATGGAACTTACCCTCTTGGAGCTCTTCTCGATTTCCTTTTCAAAGTCTGTTAGCGGTGTCAGTGATACATGTACATCTTTAATATCGTATCTGGATATCAAGCTGGAAATGCAAATGAAAAATTTGATTAGAAAAATTGTCTAAATAAAATATAAGAAGAAAAGGTCTCCTACTCGCTTAGGTTTTTCAGATTTTTACAATTGACAAATTGCTATTTATTTTATTAAGTATCACATAAAATTTCTATGACCTATTTGATTCTGCCATTCAGCTGTGGGTTTGAAACTTCAAATAATATTCATTTACAGAACTGTTTTTGATATCTATTGAAATGTTCACTATTATGTGTATGCCTGTAAAAATGATATACGAAATAGAAAAGAATAAAAGTGTATGTGTATTTTGTTTTATACTTTGAATGTGCAAAACACGAAGTGATTTAAGTGGGTTTTATTTGAAAATGAAGTACTCCACATTTCGTATTAGATATGTTTAGCACAGATGGAATTGTATACTGTGTGTGTAAAATTTACATGTTAGAAACATATGTGCTGATTTAAGAAGCAAGTTTGCGTTGGCTAAAAATTAGGGAGAACACTTAATACTTTTTAATAATGATATTAATTCATCCCAACTCCTAACTCTTAGTAGTCTTTAGAAAAACGGTTTTTAATAATCAAGGAAATGTATTTCCTAAACCTTGTCATTTTGCCGTCACATTTAAGTTATTAAATTCACTAAATAATATTACTTTTTGATCTTTAAAAACTAAATTTTTATTTACAAGAACTAAAAAGTCTTTTTTATTAGTAATTGAGCAAATAATGGGTGTAAAAAATTCTATTTATGTTTCAAAATTCTTTATCGCATTCCAAATTTTTCTTCCCTTAAGATCAGACGTAATTGATTTTGTTAAATATTAAACGATTAAGTTTAAGGTGAAGTGTAAAAGACCTTTTCTTCTCAATTCTCGTTTCCCACCTATTATTATCGTCCTGAGCAGAACTAGCGATGGAAACGGCACTACTGGTCTTGGCAGAGTCTGCCTTCCGTTTTTTCGATGCGGAACTCGACGAGCTGCCCGAGGAGAGGTTCGTTGATGTGGGATTGCTGGCCGCCGATGTCGAGGAGCCTCCCTTACTGGTGCTCAGATTTGTGGCCGCACTGGAGGATACGCCACCCATGCCCGAAGCCATCGTTCCGGACAGACTGCTTGCTGACGATCCAGCGCCTGCAGAGTTGTCCCTTTCTGTATTTGAGTTGCTACCGAATCCGGAGGAATCGTTCAGAGTTGAGCTTGAGGAGGTGCTTCCTGATCTTAACTCCGATCCAAAACCCGAACTACTGGTGCTAAGATGTGGATTGCTCAGATTGCTGGCCGATTGCTGTTTTCCGGCCGTGCTTACACATCCTGCACCATTTGTGCTAAAATTATGGGCATGATTCGAATGCTCATTGCCGGTGGAGGAATTCGTGTTGGTTCCACTAGCAGCCGAACTGCTCACAAGGGTCCCGGACCCTCCCAATCCACTGCCAGCCGTTGAGGTAGACGATGTGGGCTGTGTGCTGATACTGCTGGTTGTACTTGTGCTGCTTGTGGCACTTGGTTGTTGAATGGAGTCTTTGCTTTTCGAAAGCTTCGATGAGGATTTCTCTCGTGACGACGTTGAATTGGAAGATGTTGATGAGGCTGATGAATTCGAGAAGCTATTGTTCGCTGAATTGCTAGCGTTATCTTTTCCGTCCTTATCCTTACTAGAGGTGGATTTGCTTAAGCTTTTGCTATGTTTATCCTTGTAACTGCTGCCACTACTGCTCGAGCTGCTGGCCGATGATTTTGTAGTGGCTGCTGCTGTCGATAATTGACTGGCCGCCGACTGAGTTACGCCACCACTGGAGGCTGGTAAATTTCCTCCGCTAGAGCTTCCACTAGCCACGTTTCCAGCACTGTTGCCGCCTGGCAGGTTATTGCCTAAATTATTGCTAATATTGCTGGTGTTACTACTGCCTGGTAGTAAACTGCCCCCGGCTGGTAGACTGCTGGCACTGCCCGAGTGCGCAGAACTTGAGGACGGGTTGGCCGCCACTCCCGTCGACGATGATGAGCTGCTGCTACTGCTGCTCGACGATTTACCGGATGCATTGCTCTTGCGCTGCTTGGAGGATGAGGAGACGCCACTCATACTGCCGCTTCCCCCGGAGATTCCCCCACTGGCGCTGGCATTCAAAGCACTACTGCTGCCTCCGCCTCCGCCACTAACACTGCTGCTCGTGATCTTAATGCTCGTGGCTGAGGTCGCTGAGGAGTTCATGGTGGAATCGATCTCCTTCTCGGGCGATGAACATGAATCGGAAGAGGTGTCATGTTGAATGGGTTTATATGGCGGTATGGTTTTGACGTTGCCGCCCTTTTTCTGCAAAGTATCAAGAATTTGAACGGAAAAATCATGAATGCTATCCCTCACATACGCACCAGTTTGCTATAATGGTGCTGGCAGTAGCCGCAGTACTTCACGTTATCTAAATAGTTGCCAGCCTCCTCGCAAAGCAATCCTAGACTCTGGGCGCAGGTAACGTGGAACTGCTGTTTGCAATTCGATTTGTTGCACTGCATACAGGCGCCGACATTGGCTCGATTTGGTTTCCCAATCTCCTGGCAAATGTAGCAAGCTGAAAAATTTGCAATGCAGTTTAGAATGGGCTGGTGGAATAATATATAAAATATATATATTTTATTTTTTGGGACACTTATTAAGCTGACTAGATAAAATCAATCATATTAACTAACAGACATGACATCTGGTTTGCCATTACATATTTATATCTGTTTCTTGTTAAAATGTATGTAACAAGTTAGAATAATGAGTTTCCGGTTCTTTGAAGAATGTATATTCCTAATCAGGATCACTAGCCGAGTCGGTCTGTCTGTCTGAATAGTCCGTCCTTATCTTGATCTCGGCAACTATAAAAGCCAATGACTTAGGATATAACATGTACGCCCATTGTATAACCCATGTAATGTCACTCTATTGACTCAATCAAAATGTTTCAACTCCAACTACTATTAGCATAAATGTTAAATATTAGATACTTGAAAATTCAGAGATCTGTTCGATCTAAGATTGTAGTGAGTGTTGACCCTACCGAATCTTCTTGTTTTCATTAAAATTGTCCAAATTATTATTACATTAGTTAAAATGTATTTTAATACCACAGCAAAGGAAATTATATTATCATCTTCCTGTTTTTAATTATAGTCAAAACCAAAATTTACTTGCAATAAACTCTATATATTTAGTCAATAGACGTAATTGGCAAGTATTTGATTATGGTAAATTTGGGTAAATTTTTATTAGTCAGCAGTTTTTTGGCAACTACAAAGGGGGCACTTACTCTTTGAGTACCGCTCCGGCGGAATTAAGGACAATATGATTGGCTCCATGGTGGTCACATTCCCAAATCGCACTTCTGGGATGTAAAGCGCGCAGACGACATGCGCCCAGCCACTGTTATCCGTCTTCTTGAGGGCTCCATCCCGCGAGGGGCACAGTTCGCAACGCACACGCGAGGTTCGCTCCTGGGACTCGCACTTGCGGCAGTACCAGGGTCCGGTTGGCACCGTCACAATGCCGTAGCACGCCTGGTGCACTGCCACGGTACAGTTTTGGCCGTCACAGTATACGAGCGGGTTCTCCGGCCACCCCCGCTCGTCCGAACAAACGCAACAGCCGCCCACCATCTCCTTCATATCGTCCAACTTAAACTTTTTAATCTTGACCAGTTTCTTGTTCAAGCTTGTGGAGTGAATGGTGTCGTCTTTGCTGGAGTCTAGCTCCAGTTTTACATTGAATGAAGATGGAATTTTGTTAGAGCTGAAAATATAAAAGATGCTTAAATTAGAAGACATTTTACACTCAAAAATATTATAAAGCCTATAATCTAAATTCTATTAAATTTTTTTGTAAAAAAAAATAAAAAGCTAAATAAATCAAATTGAAATCACTTTGATTTTTAACGATTTCAAATGACAAAATGTATTCAATAGACTAGATAGGTTTAAGTTAAAAAATTGAAAGTTACATTCTTTTTTTTATTTTGTTTATAAATTGTTCTTTTTGTGTATAATAATGTTATATATAAGAAATTTTAATTGATTAAAAAATTAACTGTTCACTGGTTTACAAATTTAAATCCACAAATTCCTTTTAGAGGTTTATGTTATTTCTGGTACAGAAAGAATCCCATAGTCGTTATAAAGATTGGTTAGTTATTAGAAGCTTGAGCTCGAAAAATTAAAAAAACTGTCAAAGTGTAAATAAATAAAAGTTGAAAAACTTTTTTTAAAACAATGTTTAAATGTTTAAAAACAGTAAGGCTATGCGGATTTTCCGCTGAATTATTTTTTCCAATTGTCCGATTTTAATAAAATTAAGAGCTCAATTCTCAAATAACAAACCATTACTAAATATCGAAATAAATTGCGAAAACAGCGAAAATATATTATATTTATATTTATGTTCTGATTGTTGCAATGGAAGCTAAATGATATAGAAGACCGATTTAAATAAAATTTAAACCGTAATTCTGATATACGATATAGTCGTCCGATCCGGCTCGATCCGACCTTTATACTACCTGCAAAAGAAATACAACTTTTGGAAAAGTTTAATGCTTTAAAACTGAAAGACTAGTAAGCCTAGAAACTGACAGAAAGACATCACTAGATCGACTATCCTAGCGATGCTGATTGAGAACATATATACTTGATACCGTCGGAAATGTCCCTTCACTGCGTTACACAATTTTGACTGAAATTAGAATACCCTTTGCAAGGGTATACAAATTGTTCCAAACAAAAAATAGTGTCCCTTTCTGAATTAGAGAGTCCATCTGGACCGGAAACTCAAACTTTCATATCTGCAGATTTTATAATTATTAATCAGTGTTATTGACCATATCCTTGTCGATATATTATCCAAATGTGAGATAGGCCAGAAAAACATAGATTTTAGCTTATTTGTGTAAACTTACAATGCTCCCTCGAAACAATGATATAATAAATTTACTTCTTTTTTAAACTTTGGCAAATTACCCTATTTTTACAAGAATTAATTAGGCCTATTCGAGATTCAATACTTCAAGCGGTAGTACATATTTTTAAATATACTTTTTAAGACCGTACACTGATTTTTAAAATTGCTTGGCCAAATAGTCTGTTTCAAAAAATTCGCTCTGGGTTAAACTCTTTTGTTTTTTGTTTGTTTACATATTTTTAGCAAATGGCGAGGAAAAAAATTCGTTAAAGACGGGAAAATATCGATTTTTTCTATATGCAAGCGAAGTCTTTGGTTAAAATTGTTAATTCACTATTTGGGTATTTCGCCCATCCAATCGGTTGTGAAGCTCGTGTTCCCATGAAGTCACCATCCGCCATTCACCATCCAAAAACAGGCGTCAACAGTCATTTTGGCGTGAGCAGAGTTTTTTTGATTTTTGTTGTCTTTCAACTCTATCAAACTACCTTAAAACTACTTTTCCTTGCTTTTAATATATAATATTAAATGAACGTTTAAATATTTTGGCTATTTTCTGGAGGAGACTCGTTTTGGACCAAGTCATCTATTTTTAAATCGATACCTTTGAAAGTAATTAAAATTTAATTTAATGAACAAATGCCAATACGATTATATGAAAGATTTGGTAGGTATCGACTTCCATTTGAGCTGTGGGTCAAAAAGCAGGACGATATACAAGGAAACACCGTCATTTTTGGAAACATTCACATGGACTTAATGAATCAGGTAGTGGTGGTCATTATTTCATCCATTAAAGTGCAACACCCGTGAATAAATTATAAGCTGAGGACAAACTTTGCTCCTGTCACTTGTATTTAGTTTTGCGTTTTTATCTATTATATTGTCGGCAAAATTCCATTTTGTGTTAATTTATTATTTTTTAAGGTTTGTTTACTTCTCGTAAGCGGATCAGCTGTTTTTGCAACAGCGTGTGAATTGTCGTGTGTAAATTCTTTTAAGAATTTTGGTGCATACGGTATTACGGACCATCAAAGCATCATCATAGATCATAGAAATTTGGAGACATTCCGGCTGCCGCGGTTGCCCTTAACTTCGATATCGATAGTAAACTCACGTTAGTGTACATAGGCTATGAAATAATGCACATGATGAGTAATCGATCTTGAGACAGAAGTTTCTCGTTATCGATAATAAGCAGCTATCAATGCAGGTGTCAATTGGCAAGGTCATTCGCACTCGCTTTCTCACAACAACAAGCGTCTGGTCTGTTCTATGAAATATTACTTAATTGTGCACTTGTATTTTCAATTTGTATTTCCCAGCGAGAGAGAGCGAGATAGCGCATGGGCTCCATCGCAAAACATTTACACTCGCACACACACGCAACCTTTCAATGTCAAGGTAATTTCGCCGCTGTTTATTAAACCAAGCAAATTTTATGATACATCATATGTCGATACATTTAAATAAAGAAATCAAGTTGGCTGTAAGCATAAACAGTGATGCCACCGAATATTGATATAATGTTTATAACGGCTATAAAAACCACCAAAAATTCTTGTTACGTTCACGAATCAGGCGACGCACACAAACACTCACAAGCGGCGTTCGATGGGCTGGTTCATTGAACTTGAATAATGGGCTACCAAAAATAAAACAGGAAAGTGCAGCCCTGCTCCGCCTTCAATTGGAGGCCAATTTGCTACCACTGTGCGAGTGAGAGCAAATATGTGGGTCGCGGCATCTGCTGAGATTTCACAGCCACAACAATAATAATAATAATAATAACGGCATGCGGGTGTTGTTTCTGTTCCATTCATGCATGCGCATCTATGTGCGTGATGGAGGGGGAGAGTGTACCGTTATTGGGTCAGCGTGTTGCCAACTGCCGAAAAACGTAGCCAGCGTGTTGCCAACTGCGCGGTAGCTGGAGTGCTCTTAACTTAACGGTGTAAAAGCACACACACTGGAGCACATAAAACGAGGCCGCTCTGCACGTTGCTTTTGTAATGAAGAGCAATGCACTTTCGACACAAAACACACACACTCAGACGGAACAGATACATACACACGCACGCGGGGAGATGCTTCATGTACATATGTATTTACTCCAAATGCCGGAAAAGGTGGCGCGTTTTTGGGGGGTGGAATGCGGGTGGGTTTATACATATAAATATACCCCATTTAGTACATCCTTCGGGGGAGTTTTTGGGGACTGGAGGGTGGTTTCTCCCAGTTTTCGCAATTCGACTCTTAAAGCACTGGTTAAATTTCCATCAAATTGTGTGTATACACCCGTGGCTTGAATTTATTGATTTTTATGGGCAATTGCTTTAATTTCACTGGCCAGCAGGGCTTTAAAACGTCATCAGCGGTTCGCAACCAAATAAAAAAACTAGTTTCGCGGCGAGGAAAAATGAGCGCGGTCAAAGTGGTCAAGCAACGCACAACAAAAACAGAAAATATCTCTTTTTTCAGGGAGCGGTCCACCGAAAACTTGAAATTCTTTCGACTTTCTTGTTATTTTCACGCAGCGGTTTCTTATTGGCCGCTAGGCACCCTCACAGAATATTGATTTTTCGAATTTTTTACCCGATTTTTCACTTGAAAAGAACGCTTTTCAACGCCGTAGCGTTTCGTTGCGTTTTCTTTTGCTTTTTCTTAAGCTTTTCCCCAGCACTTTTCCGCGCCTTACAGATCTAACAGCCGCCCACGAGTAGCAAACGCACGCAAGTAAAATAATCAACACTCGAAAAAGGCGCTGAACAACACCATCCACCAGCGCAACAACAACAGTGTGCGCGAGTATTTACAACTACAGCTACAACAACACCAGCACACACCTTGTAACTTGTTTGTTGGTGTTTCGCTCGCACATCAGGAACGAGCAGTGCGGGCGCGAGAGGGAGACAACACCACCTGCTCTGTGTACAAATGCAGCTTAGGTGAAACGATATTTGCAAGCTCCGCGTTTTTCCAATTGCACTAAACTCGCGAATAGCCTCCGATTCCGAGACGTTCTGAGATTTTAGCTCTAAAAACAACGATTTTTGAGCATTTTTACGCCGAAACAAAAAACCTCGGTTACAGACGATGGGTTTATTTCTAGCGATGGTTTCTTTTTTAGAGATGATATTATATTTCAGAGATGGACAAACAGTGGCGCTAATGTTTTATCCCGTTTAAAAACGTTTCTTGTATTTAAAAAAAATAATATGAATTTATTAAATTATGCATTTAAAAATAATTATTATAAATTGTTTCTAAAATATTTATTTTTTACTGGTCTTAAGCCAATAGGTATTTTTCCCGGCAAAGACATATTTTAGTCACGCATAAGCATTGGAAAACATAATATAACAATACAGTTACATAATTAAAGCATTGTTTGGTTATTTATTAACAATTTTTCGGAAGCCATGAAGACTATTTTTTTAAATTTTTCTGCCATATTTAAATTTTTCTAGTGTTAAAAATAATTTTCGCGTTTGACGTGGCCAGACGTGCAAAAGTGCAATCACTAATCCCGTGATATATCGTATGGTGTTGAACAACGCTCGTGCCCAAACAGCTGTGGGAAAAATCAATTTTGCTACTCCCTCGCGTTACTTTAAATAAAGTCTTACTTACTAACGCTAGAAAACCTAATAAAAAATGACATCCAACGGTGACTGCTTTGTTGTTTTGCCTGAGAACTGTGCCGAAGGAACTCTCATCATTGGTCGCAATGCAGAAGACGAAGAAAACGTAAACGTTGCTTCGGAGATTTGCTTCTATGATGTCAGCGAAGTGCTGGAGGGGAAGACTGACGGCGGAGCGCCTGCCGAGTCAAGCGGCGATGCAGTGCGTGTCATATTGCAGAAACCGCAGCCGGGCCTTTGGGGCGGAGACTTTGGGGCCAACGAACGCGGCGTGGCCGTGGGTCTCACCTGGGCGGCAGGTGAAAAAAAGGCCAAGGACAGCGATAGTCTTCTGGGAACAGATATTGTGCGGTACGGTACATATAGTTAATTAAACCGAAAGCTCTAAAGAAGTGCACCTTTTGTACATATTTGAATATATCTGGTGTATCAAATAGTATATATGTATGTATTTAAATATTAAATTTCTTAAAAATGTATTCATACCAAAAAAATTGTATTCCATTCTCCAATCTCACAATTTGTTCTTGGATTGCCACATTCCCTATAATGCCAAACAAAATGTTGAAAAAGAGTATAATTTTATTTTAAACTTGACGCCAGATTATTTAATGGTAACCCTATAACGGAAGTCTAATTCGTGTGAATTAAATTATGTAGATATTTATATTAATATCAGATGTATTTTAGAATGGAATCCAATTAACGCGACTTAAACAAAATACGACACTAGCACTGATTGTCTCTTCTACAAATATTTTATTAATATCTATTTTGTTTTTCAATTAAAGAGACTACAACAAAATATGACACTAGCAGTGGTTATCTCTTCTTTAAATATTTAATTAATAAATCTCTTTTTTATAGTTTGACTTTGGCTCTGGCCAAAGATGTGGACGATGCTGTAGACCGCATTGGAGGACTGGTGGCCAGCCACGGCCACGACAACTCCAAACTGAACTTCATCGCTTGTGATGCCGCAGCTGCCTGGTTCGTAAGTTGCTCGGGCAAGGTCTGGGCCGCCGAAAAGTTGGAGGCCAGCTTTATGCGACTGCCCTCGGGCGGACTGGCGGTGACCACCGTGGTCAACAAGTCCAGCGAGGGACTGGATGAGGTGGCCAGTTTTGCCGCTGCCCACGACGCCGAGGCCCAGGCCCCGACCGAGGATTGGTGTGGACCCAAGCCAGCTGGAGATGGCACATATACCCAGCATGATATGTTCGAGTCGCTCCGAGCAGCCAGCAATGCGAGCAGCTCGCGGGCAGCCACCGTGTCGGTGCTGTCGGCCAAGGGGATCTCGTGCCATTGGTTCACCGGCACGCCCAATGCCGCCGAGTCTGTGTTCAAGCCGTTCGTTTTTGCCCCTAAGCCGAGGATCTCACCGCTGACCCAAGTGCAGGGTGATGCGGACTTGACGCTGCTCCATAAGCTCCACTCGCAGCGCAAGCCGGCGGCTTTAGAGCACTTGCGCAGCCTGGAGCGGTCCTGTGTGGACGAGCTGAACAACTATTTCTCTCTGCAGGATCACGCCAGTGACGAGCTGGACGAACTGCTAAAGGACTGTGTCGAGGCGGAGGTCAAGTTCTATCGCTAGACAAACGAATACTTTCTATATGGATACTCCAAAAACTAGCTTGCAAGCTCTATTGAGCCTCGGAATTTGACTTGAGCATTCTTATGGCATTACCAAATAGGATATAGTCGGCAAACCATTTTCTTGTGCAATCTCTTATTAATTTTATTTTGTTTAATTTTTATGCTTTTGCGTGATATATAAATTATTATTTATTCTATCTCAGTGAGAAATCTCTGACTTGATTTTAAAGTATTATAATGTGACATTCCAGGCTTAGTTTAAAGATTTACATACTTGCATTAAAATATATATGAATACATACAAAAATATACATTATATATGGCTCTCAAATAAACGCATAAAATCTGCATTTATACAAAAATTAAAGTTTTAATTCAAATTGGAACTAAATAATAAATTATGAGGTTTCGAAAGCAACAAATTATTAAGAGGGCATTCATTTTAACCATTTAATACCTTAAAACATTTCGCCCTGAAAGTGAAATATTAATTTGCAAAAAATGATAGATCCTGAAATGATTTATTTAAATCTGATCTGGCCATAATAAAATGTAACCCCTTAAGGTAATTAGATTCGATGACAGCAAACACATATCATATTAATATACATTTGTTTATTGTTAGACGGATTCTACAACCAAATTGGTCTTAAAAATAGTGCTATCGTTGTGCAAGGCCTCCAGTTTAGTTATCTCAAAAGCCTGATAAATTTCGCGAAAGTCCATAATATTGCGCGGGTCGCTTTCCATCCAAAAGCGGTCAAACTCAAAGAACAGGTAGCAGTACAGCTTGTGGAAATCCTCCACTGTGCTAAAGTCCTGCCTGTGCTGCACCACCAGGTTATAGAAGTGAGTTTTCGCAGCACCCGTTTTAACTAGATTGAATGCCATTGATGTGAGATTAATGCCCACAATGGCGTATGTGTAACCCAATGTGGGATGCATCGAATGAAGGAGCACGTGCTTTGCGGCATCGTTATAGGCGGTGGCGAAGTACAGCAAGTTCTCCAGGCCGAGCATACCCATTCCCCGGAAATCCGTTTTGGGATCGTCGCCCTGGAAGCCGATGTCTTGCCACTGTTTGCTCACGCGTCCGGTAAGAGGGGCCTCCGGCATCAGAAGCTGCCACAGCTGCAGCAACTTTTGTTCGTGCTCCAGATTATCTGAGTCGTACCGTTCCGCCCGCAGCTGCTCCACCTGGTGCATAAGCCGACGGTAGCCCCAAATGCTGGTCACACAGGTGCCGAAGAGCCGGGCAAAGTCCGGATGCACATTGCTCTTGATGCGTTTCGCTTGCATGACAACGCGCGCAGCACGTGGAGCTAAAAGTACACATATTAAACAAATATTAATGTGGTTTGAATTATTAGGTTAAGATTTAATACAAATACATATATAGTTATAAAGATTTTGAACTTATTTTCAAAAATTTTAAATACTCTAAGACGTAAGTCCAACCTGGGTAATTAAATTTAGGATCATCATTCACAGATATTGATATGAATTTTCAGACTTATATGGCAAAATTAAAAGAGTGGATCGAAATAAAGTACAACAAAAATAACAAACAAGGGTATTGCCCTTGTAAATGTGAAAACTATTTACCTATATCGGATATTTCCAATTTTTAAGGAATACATTTATATCTAGTGTTCTTAATGTTTTAATGGACGTATGTAGTTTAAGCTAAAAATGCATTGTAAAATTGTCCTCTAATGACAGATACATAGATTTTCGTTAACCTACCAAACTCCAGCAGCTCCGCATTGCTCACGTAGGGCGCCGCTTCATCAAGGTCAAGTACTAGCCGCCTTATTTGGGGGCTTTTAGACAAAGTCAGTGACCTTTCAACCTGACTAGTACGGCTGGCACCTTCGATTGCACCATAGCAAATCCTCTGAAGTTCCGACAGCCTGGTGAAGGCGTGGAGGAACCACTTGAGAACTCCAACCAACGGCCTTATATAGCTAAATATAAACGGCAGTATTTTGTCTAGTATAAACATTTTTGTAATGAGCTGATGAGAACTCTTTTGATTTTTGGGAAATATTTTCCGAATTTGTTTGTTTGGCTCCTGGTTGCCACGGCAACGCAACCGTGTTAGATTTCTATCACACTTTTAATTAGCTATTGTTTTGTAGCAATTTGTATGCTGTTAAAAGTTAACTTTTTCGATTCGCAGGCAACAATAACAAATAGCACTGCTTTATTTAAATAAAATCAAACAGCTGATCAGGCAGTACTGTGAAAGCGCAAGCAGTTTCTGCCAGTCTGGCAACTCAACATAAATATATTTATGTTTTACAGGCTTACTCTAGTAACTAGTTCAAGATTTGTCTTCAGTTTCCTCGGATATACGTCCATTAAAGTTGATGTTTAATAAATTGAATGTTTATATAATTTAATTTATTATATATTCAATGGTAGTATTTATTTCCAACAATCACTTGGCTCCTATAAAAGAATCCCCCTAATATTTTTGCAATATGGCTGCTAATTTTAGCTGCTGAGGAAGCGGTCACACTAATGTTATTATCCTAAAATTCTAAAAAAAATTGAAACAAATATATAAAACATGTATTTTAACGGTGACTTAAGTCTCCAATTATTGGATTTGCATCGGTATCGATCTTTACTGCTGAGCTTAAAAGCCTACGATATGCACATTTCTCTAATAAAAATAACATTTCTCTAGCAAAAGAAACGTAACTGTTTCGTATAAGTTATTTTGACAAAAACATGAAGCGGGCAGGAGTATTTAAAAAGCTAAGAGTAAGTTTTGCAAGCCCAGTACTGAAGAAAAATTAAGAACTTAAATGGCGATATTGCGGTAAGTTTAAAAAAGGTTTCCAGACATACATACATAGTCTTTTATTTTAAACGTCAACCTACGTAGCCAACTGACGCCGCAGCCAACCGATTATTTGGGACCCCCAAAACATTCCGCCTTAAGAGGGATGATGAGCTTTAAATCTAAGGACTGGATACCAAGCATTTCCCTTGACGGAACTGGAGGAAATAGAGATGGTAGATGAGGAAATGAGTGATCCCGTTAAATCATCTTTTTACGTATGTAGCTACTAGTTATCAGTTGGGATATCCTGAATAACATATTCTCTATTTGCAGATCCAAGCCATGAGGGATACTCTTAAGCCTGGCGGGAGGTCACATCCTGGTGGACTCAAAAACACTTTCATCTTATACTAGCATGGCGGTGGCATCCACAATAAGATATTCCTGAAAAAGTTTAAAAATTTCAACAACGCCTTATTCGGTATGATGTTTATGGTCTAAGTCTTTATTATTATTATTTATGCATATTATTATTATAATATTCTTTGCAGAAGTTCAAAAGCGGGACGGTTATTACAGAGACGACTACGTCACCGAAATCAGACTGGCAATCTAGACTTACAAAAGTCGAAGGCATAAAAACATATCCTATGCTCGGAGAAAAATCAGGGAAGCCATGGCCAATATCGAACCTGAAGTTATGATTGAAGAGGTCTTTTATCCAGAATAAACTTTCTTTAAAAATAGTCAGTTAAGATTCTGGCTTAGGGGTTGTCCACATATTACATAAAAATCCACAGGAGTAGTCATCTCGATAGTTTTGTAGGAATTTTAAGTTACCTGGTAACTAAAATTATTTATGTAAAAACTTGTGCAACACTTTAAATTGGCATTGCATATCTTTTTCGTAAATTGCCTTTGATTGGAGTATTTAGTTACATGTGTATGTATGTTTATTGGGGATTTTAATCTATACAGTCTACAGAACTCGCGTGCCAAAATGATTAGATGAGGTCGCCTATGTCTTAGTATTTGGTTTCCAAAGCTCCCGCCTCAAAAATATGGTGCCCAGTCGTAAACCGGTATCGCTTAGTGAGAGACAGGCACTGGGCGGTCTGATTCTATACTTTGTGGTTAGCTGACTTTACCGATAAGAAATCGAAAATGCGGGAAGAAAACGGACGACTTTGGGGAAAATTAAACGATGGTGGGTGGTTTGTTTGAAAAATAATTAATTTAGCCAATTTGGATGTTGTGTTATTTTAATTTCTTATTCTACAGGCAAGTTTGAAGTGCGCAGTGTCACCCAAGCCGATCTGGAAGAGGCTCTAGATGTGAGTAAAGTTCAATGGGACTTCAATTACTTTGTCAATCATACCTGATGATCAATTACTAAGCTTGAAGTTTAATATAACACCGATTGGTAAAATTTAGTTAGTGGTAATTTTCCACAGTAGAAAACTATTTTCGTGCTTCGGTTTCAACGTGGCGTCGGTGGTGTAATGGTTAGCATAGTTGCCTTCCAAGCAGTTGACCCGGGTTCGATTCCCGGCCGACGCAGCTCGCTTTTTGCCAATTTTTTTTTCCTTTTTTATATTTTATTTGTTTATATTTTTCAAGGTCCTAGACAGTTCATTCTTTCTTAATGAATCGGTATCCATTGCTTGCGAAATTAACTTGCCAGAAAATTACCAAGCTCGTCTGGATCTGCGTGAGTTGTGCAGAATAACTGCTCTGGATGGAATTTCTTTGTTGGTAAGAGATGTGGAAACGGGACGCGTAGTGTCTGTGTCCTTTAATAAACTTCAGGTAAATCAGCTGATTTTTATAAAACACAGTTTTAGTCCTAAGCCGATTGAAAACATTTATAGTTCACACCACCACCTGGCGAGGATCACTTCTTTCTGAAATTCCGCAATGAAAGCGCGAAAAGTCCGCAGGCCCGGGGTCTAATGGATTTTATGATCGAAGTGGACGGAAGAACCGATGTGTGTGCTATGTACAACATGGATTGCTTCTGTGAACTGATGTTTCTGGCCACTTTGCCAAGCCACGAGCGGTTGGGGCTGGGACGCTCATTGTCCCAGTTCACCATTCAGCTCACTCAGGAGCTGGCTGAGGGTAAGGGCATGGAGGATATTGACGAAAAGCTGCGTTCCAAACGCCCTGCAGCTGTCACCGCACTCTGGACCTCAAGCTTCTCCCAGAAAGTGGGTAAAGCCACCAACTTTAAAGTGCTGAACGCGATTCCCTATTCCGAGTTTGAGTACAATGGTAAGCGCTTTGACGAGCGCATAAGTCCTCTACACAAATTCTGCGAACATGTTGTTTATAAATTTTGAAAAAAAAAAAATAAGTTGTAACAAAAAATTTGGTTGTGCGTCGGCCGGGAATCGAACCCGGGTCAACTGCTTGGAAGGCAACTATGCTAACCATTACACCACCGACGCCATGTGATGTTCCGTTACCGTTTACCTAATTGAGTGGTGACAGTCAATTCGTACCAACTTGATTGCTGGCTATCGAAAGTTATCGCTATCGGTATTTGGTCACACTTAAAATTTCAGTTAAATTTGAATTTGTGGTGGGGAATTCATAGAAAACTTGGAGGATGGAAATTCAAGAAGGAATGCAAATTGGTTAAAAGATTACTGCACAGCAAATAAAAATGTCTCAAAGCGAAAACGAAGTTATTGTATTGGTCTTTCGTGAGTTGATTGTTTTTATTTACATCTGGGTAATTTAAATGCTAACAGAAATAAGCATTTTAATGTAATTAATAAATGAATTAGGTTACACGCAACCAAAGCACAAAAATAAAAAACCTGGCTTTCCCTCAAAAAAGAAAAAAACGATAAAAACGTTTGAAAACTTTTTTGCTATCTTTGGTTGCATAAATCCGACATAAATCTATAACAGTAAATGCGCCTTTAAAAATAAAGATAACTGTGTAATTATAATTTCTTAGAGTAAAACCAGAGTGCCCCGACTTTTAAATACCCGTTAGTGAGCTAACCAAATTTAAAATAAATATGCCCCTTGAAAAAAAAATTGAATTTTAGGTGGCGCCATCTACCGGAAAATTTGCGTTTATGCTTGTAATTTCTAAAATAATGGTACAATTTGAAACAAAAGTTAATAGATAATGACCGAACAAACATGTACCGCTATATAACTACTAAGTCTCAAAGACTTTTGCGATTTTTTCATTTTGAAATACACTTACGCTGCTTGGGCATAACAATAGATATAAAGTATACTTTTCAACAATACAATAACCTACTCTTTTAATTTACAAGTAACGGGTATAATTATTAATTTAATGGAACCAAACGTTGTGTTATCGCTTAAATTATACCTTCTTATTGAAATAACTAGACTTTCCAAAAAATATTGATTTTAAAAACCTTGCGTTTAGCATTAGATAAAAGTAATTTATTTAACTAAAGTTATACTATAGAATGAATGACTGCACCAGTATTTTGGATGTCGAATTTCAGATTCTACGCGTGACTCCAAACTTGTGTAACGAAGTGGAAGAGGTGGGTATTTCAAATTGGTTATGTATAGAATTTGAGATAATAAAGTTTTCTGCAGCTGCTAGTCAATGTTTCAGTGAATCAAGAATTTGGATGCCTGATCCACAACATTAAAGAGTCGCCAATAGCCATAGATGAGCTTCGTAAATTGATTAGGCACATCCTTTCCTTGGGAATATCTTTCGCCATACGTCATGTGGAAAGTGGGAGAATTGTGGCCGGAATCGCCAATATAATATTTGTACGTATTTAAAGCCCTTTATTCTAAATTCTCCATTAACGTCTAGTACACAAAAACAGAATGTGAACAGAAAGGGCTCATATTATGATATTAGTGGCCAGATGAGAAGTCCAAGTACGATTAATTATGTCCAGATGTGGGATGCCGTCGATTCGAGCTTCGATATCAATGAGCATTGCCAACTAGAGAGTACTTTCGAAATGGAATACATGGGCACCTTGCCGGAATTTAGGGGTCGCGGCCTGGCTACTTTTTTGTGCAAGCATTCCTTTCGTTTAGCAAAGGAGATGTTCCAGGGAAAGCTACCACCAGAGCTGTTTGCCTAGCTGCCGGAGGAGATGCAAATCGAAAGACCACAGGCCGTGGTGGCGATAACGACATCGTATACTTCTCGCAATATGGCCAGGAAACTGCAAATGCAAACGGTACGCAAGTGGAATTTTTCGGAACTAAGATCTTTAGGAGGTGCAATCGCGTAACCCGGTGGCGAAGAACCTTTTCAATGTGCAGAATTGCAATTAATTATGACTTAATTAAGTTCGAAAAAAGGAGCAATTACGAAATGTATGATAGAAAGGGTAAAGGTTAAACCATAATTTCAAAAATAAATTCTAATTTCAATCCAAATAAATTAGAAAAGCTTGATTCTTAAATTTTCATTAGTCATTGGTGTTTTCAACACTGCCTGTCCAGAAGTGAGAGCCCGCGTCACAGATGGCGAGTTTCAGCTCCTTTCGAAGACCCCCATACATTTACTTAATCTTCATTTCTGGTATAACTACTATATGAAGCCAGTATTGAGCCTATCATTCAGTTTAGACGTTTGTTTTCCTTTGGAAAAATCCCACCGAAGGTGTTTGCATAACTGTCTATAAAGATGCAAGTTTTACGAGCATGTGACGCTATCCACATAGCCAACATACCTGTTAGGATATTTTTTTCGAATATGCTGAACTCTTGTAATAAATTATTATTTCTACTGCACCGTAAATGGTAAACAGAATTGAAACGTTCTATTATAAGCGCAGCTATCATTGATTCTGACTTGGGCTCTCCGTTTAACTCAAATCTTTTTTGTATATATTCCATTAAGATCGGAATATTTATGTTTCGTAATGCAAAACTTTTTCCAAAACTGACTTGCGTTGAAACCATTTTGTTTTAATGTTTAATAACGTTTGACACAAGGGACTCAAGGAATGCATGATTATATGATTTTTGCATCATTTTCTGCGTGTGTATGTATTGTAAAGTAACGATCCTGCCGCGTTTTTCTCATAATCCAGTAATCAACGTGCGAAATCGTTCACATGTTATTTCCATAAATGAAAATCGCCCAAAAACGACAATCTGGGATTACAAAATTATTAACTAGATTGTCAATAAAATTTCTAATAACAATGTTGACAGATTTACAATACACTTGTTGTAATTTGGGTTCATGGGCTAAAGGATTTGACAATATTATTTGGTTTCATTTTAAATCTATTACTGAACTAGGAAAGGCTTAAGATACAGATTTTTAAAAATATAAATGAGTAACTTTTCAGGACGTTTCAAAAGTTTTAATCCCGACTGAATCCACTCAGCGCTCAGCTCACCCCGTTGTCAATGTCTATTCTCATTGTTGATTTCAATTTTTGCACTTTCGAAAAAAAACTTTTCAAATGAGATTAAAATTTACACAATCCGCAGCTCGGTGAGGCATGCACTCGAGGGGATTTCCTCGCCGTTTCCCTAATGCCCGGTGTCAACACAGCCTATGGACTGCAGGGGCAGGATTGGGTGAGCAGTGTGATAAGCATTTCGATCCTACTCTGCCGCTACCTCAACAATGCGCTGGGGTTTTTAATTAGAATTCGAATAACAAAAAAAAATTGAAAGTACTTCGCCAAAAGAACAGGGGTGAGGCCAAGGCTGAAAGGCCCTTGTGGCAGGGCAATTGCGTGTAATGATATCGCAGATCGTATGGAACTCGTAGGACTCGTAAATAGGGTTGTCTGCCAAAGAGGCGGTTACGCTTGATTGTGCTATATGACGTGTGCATAATTTTCCGAGTGCCGGCCAATTTAAGGCCTGTTCAGCTAGTTGCATTGGTCTTGAAAACGACAAACAGATTATTTATTTATTTTAGAACATTTTGTTTCGGCCAGATTGTAATTCATAAAATAATCGTTAGACTTAACGTTTGTCTAAATTAATTTCATTTATTAAGTTAATTATAAGCTCCTCTCTTGTTTGCACCCTTAAATTTTGTGATTTTGGTAACTATTTTTCTTGGTGTACCTATAAATGTTGACTACAACTATAGTAATTTCATAATTTTGGCTTCAAGACTTTAATTATAGAGCGCGGTATGTAAAATTTGTGTGGGAAATATTGTCTGCATTCGGTTGTAGCAGGAAATGGCTTTCTCTTTATGAAGCGTATGCAAGCGTTTTAGATAACATGTTGAAAAGTATTGCCATAATTTTCATATTGTGCCTGATCTGATCTCTCATAAAAACCCCAAAGCTTTTAGCCCACAAATTTTTGGTGCAAGACAACTTGATAAAATTGAAAACCAATTTGTTTGTGCAGCTGCACAAAACGAGCAGCGCCGGCAACGATAACAACCCAGAAACAAAGGCGCAGGATTGGGGGTAGGCGGAAGGCTTCTGGCGAAGGCAAAACAATTTGTTTATCATGGTAGCCTTAGTGAGGTTGTTTGATGATGAGGCAACACACACAGGGCAAGCACGGAAAAAGGACAACAAACAAACAGAGTTTGGGCGAGGAGCAGGACGAGGATGAGCCCGTCAACGCATCGGGGTAGGGCAGGATGTAAGGCGGTAACACTGCAACAAAAAACATGTTGAGTATGGTTTGCTAAAACTTCCTCTGCTTAATATTGACATTGAAGAACTTTGATAATAAAGAAATATAAATATATATAAACAAAAAACAAATAAAATAAAACAAATCATCACATAACTACACTGGTAAAAAAAAAGTAGTAAATTTAAATATTTTGTATTCAATTTAAATATTTTTCGCTTTGATTTTCATCCAAATCCGTTTATATTTACTTTAAATATGCACCATATTAATTTGATTTTCGAATTTAATTTAAATACTTACAGAGTAATTTTCAATATTTTTAATATTTAATTTAAATTTGGTCCATATTTAAGTTAAACATAATTCATAGTTAAATTAAACACGATGCGTATTTGTTTTAAATATTAAAACATTTAATTTAACTAGAAATCGTATTTGAAGTAATAATGAAACATGTTTGTTTTCAATATTAAAATATTTAATTTAAGTATAAACCGTATTTAAATTAATATGAAATAAATTTAAGTTAAATACGGTGCATCTTTGTTTTAAATATTAAAATATTTAATTTGATTTATAATCGTATTTAATGTTAATATAAAACATCTATAAATTAAATATTCCAAACTTAAATACAGTGCAATTCATATTTAATTTTAATAACAATTTTACTGAATTTAAATATTAAAGTATTTAGTTTAAATATGAATTATATAACATGTATTATTTAGCGTTTTAAGAATAAATATTTATTATATTTAAATCAAATGCAGGGTATATTCATTTAAATTAATCAAAACCGTTTATTAACATAAGAAAAACATTGAGCAGTACATTTTTTTTTTGTAATCATTTTATTTAAGCAAAATTTATATACAGTACGGCCTATATAGTTTATCAAAGAACGTGGTTTTTAACACTCACTTCATATTGTACATGTTTTTAAATAATTTGCTTTGTGGCTTTTTACAAACATACACGGTTGAACTGTTTTTAAATTCGAATAGTTTTTACCGACAGATTCTGCAATCCTTTGGCGATAGTCGGCAATGGAGTTCACTTGAAGGACTAGACTTTCCAGGGAGTTCTGGTTTTTGATGCTTTTGAAGAGTACCATGTATTGGGCGGTAAAATTGAGGGGAGCAGGATAGTCAAAATAAAGTCTGATGAAAAAGAAATAAAAGAAAGACAAAAATAAGAATTTTAATTAAAAAATAAAACAATATATTTCATAATGTAATTTACCAATAGTCTCTGAATTCTTGAAATTCATAAACAGCTTCCTTCTGTTCACGTTGTGGATATTATACGCATAGTACTGTTGTATTTCCTTCTTAAACGCTTCCCATTTTGAAGCTAATGCGCCTTTCCTTTCCAGGGAACATTAAATTAAAATCGATTTGTATCTGAAATTAGATTTTTTTCTTAACTTGGGTTTTTCCAAGTCATATATTACGGTATCACCAGGGATTGTTTTATGCTAATTTATTGTTATTATTATCCATTTGATTGATTTTATTTTTTAAAATATTAATATTACTTTGTAATATTTTAAAAAATCAAATCAAGTATTCGCTTTTTTTTTGTTAATTTTTTTGGGCGGTAACTAAAACGCTGCACATACATACATGCATATGTAGAAACATGTTTACACAGCGTGCGTATGTATGTACATAACATTACCACATTTATATTTTTATTGTTAGATCGGTACTTACCAAATAGTTATGCTTCCGAAGCTTAAAATTTATCTTGGCGTGATCTTTATCTTGAGGGTTAATTATGTTAAACTAGATCGCGGTAAAATACACAGTTAATATGTATGTGAATAACTCTAGAAGATATTTGTTTTTAAATATTCTCACACACTTACATACAAATATATGCATGTATGTGCAGAGTCCGTTAACCGTTTCTAGTGGCTTCCAAACTAAATCTAACGCCAATTAAGCGGTAAACGAACGCTGCACACACATATGTACATGCATACCAACACATGTACATACATACATATATCAAGCGTGGGTATAAAGCCTAAAACAAATTTATTGCAGAATTATTCACCCAATAACGTGTAAGAATCGCGATCCAGATTAATTATTTTAGCACTTCACTATCTTTGATTTGTGTTTCTGATGAGATCGCGGCATCAGCAATTAAACTTTAATTTTCACTACACGACACAACAACTGCGACTTAGAAATGATGGCACGCGCCGTGCAATGCTGAATACGAAGAGAAGTGATCTGGTCACACATATGTACATATGTGTGTGTGAATCCGTTTCAAAGAAACAGCGAATAACGGAGAAAAAAGACCGCTAAAAATGCGCATTTAGAATTTGTTATACACATATGTATGTATGTATGTATAATTATGACTTTTGTTCCATTTATTTAACATTATTTTAATTTAGTTACGAACGTAATAAATTTAAGAGTTTCGTCTAAATTAATGGAACAAAACAAAAAATTAAAATATAATTTTTGTGTTTATTTTAAAATATAAAATGCGGGCCTCGACTACAACTTTAAATTAAATAGGAATAATATTTAAAGTAACAAAAATAATATTTAAATTTAATTTGTTATGTATAACGATTAATATTAAATTTAAATATTGAGCATTTTCAATATAATACTTTAAACATAGATATTAATACAAATAATATTAGATTTAAATTTAAAAATATTAAGTACCATATTTATTAAATATATTTCCCTAAGATTGAGCTATTGAAATTTAACTGACAATATCAACTGTAATAATGTTTTGTTTATTGTAAAAATCATTAAAAACTCAAAATAATTTTCAGTTTTCGTACTATAATTAAATATGACACATTCTTAATTTGACTATGTTTTTTTTTTAGTCTGAAAATTTTCAATTTTAATATGATAAAATTTAAAACAAATTGCCCAAAATTTAAACTCAATATTTACCACATTGATTTAAATATTTTAATATTAAATTATGGAATTTAATACGTTTTGTATTTAATTTCAATATTTTTATATTTACTTTAAATATGAAATACGCATTTTACAATTCAATATGCGCATATTTATTTTTACTATTCCATTTTTTTACCAGTGTATTCGAATACATAAATGTTAGCTTAAAATGTATTTATTATTAACAAATTACTATGTTATAATTAATGTCTATATCTATAAATAAAGTTTGAAATTAGAATATATTTATTATTTGCAATATAAATATTTTTATGAGTGTAACTATTTAATGATTTTAGTTTTCATTTATGTGATTTTTTATGGATTTCTTGAGCTGTCTTTTTGAAACCATACATACATAAAATGAAACTTTCATTTGAAAATATTTATTTTTAACAATTTCATATACAATTAATACTTATTTTTATAAATTAGTTTTACAATGAGAATACAAATATTTTTTACAATGTAAACTTTTACTATTTTAAGATTTATCTTAATTTTTATGAGTTTAACTTATTGAAATCATCAATTCGATAAATTGTTTCGAATTTATGGAGCATTTATCTTCAAGTGTAGCATATTTTGACATCCCTTGATCTGGTGAGCCCCGAAAAATATGCAGTATATTCTGCAATTGCCTTTTAATAGAGTTGTTCACAAAAAAGGGAAATAGGAAATCCAAGACAGTGTAAATATTTGAATTTGTTCTCTGCTAATGCTTACAAATTATGCTGGTTGACAAATTCCGTTGGGGCTTTCCTAGCAGGCAAACTATGCTGTATATATTTTTTACCATGTTTACTGAGCTCCTCTTGGTTGCAACAAATCATTAATTAGACTTAGGAGTGGTACGAAATAATCCCAACGTTGAAAACTGCACAAGCGAGATCATTATTCCAGCACATCACTGTGGAATTTGCGCAGCTGCCACCTCAACCCTTTCGAACACCTCCACCCCCTGGGGCAAAACACTTGTCTACATCAAACATCAACACCTTCCATTGTCAAGCACTTGGGCAATAATTCCGCTTAAACAGATAAACGAGCGCTCGAATCAGAAAACAATTGAATGGCAGAGCATGGTCTGAAACACCAAATTTTTCACCCCGCCCAGCCTCTTGGAAAACTTAATAAGCTTATGGCACCCCGAAAATGCAACCCTGTTTGGCTAAAACTTTCAACTTGCCGCGTTCCGATTGGTGGTAACTTTGGCACCGCCCCTTTGGCTGTTTCGTTTGATGTGGCACCGCCATTGAAAGACACAATATATGTATGGCTCACTATCCACCCCTCGCCGTACTCTTCTTATCAGACAGGACCTGTAGAAGTTCCAGGACCGGGGCCCAGGCTCAGGCATTCGCTTCCCGGCAATCTGAGAGTTCGCAACACAACGCGCTTCGATGTCCGAGCCCGCGGTACCATTTCATCTATAAGGATTGTTGGGGTGACTGTTAAAGGAAGTTCAGTAGTTGGGTCTTGGAAATTGGAATAAATCGGTGTTTGGGTGATGTGCAATTTAAAAGTGAAGTGTACAATTTCTTAGAAATTGGCAGGTTTCCAAATTTTTAAATCTAGTCAAAGGATTATTGGATACTCTTAAGTAATTCAGGTAAGTTTAGACATAAAAAATGAACTAAAAAGAAAATGATCTTGTATACATAAGTGAGTCGTAACATAACGTTTTACCGAGCTTATTAATTTGTTATTATTTTCTTCATTTGAAAAAAGGAAACTTTCATAAAGTTCTTGCACATAATTACATTATGCACTATTATTTAGAAAACCATGCAACGCGAAATACGTATAAAAATTGCAGAATGTTTTTTACTTTTTGATAAACATATTTGCATATTTGAATAACAATAAAAGATATCAGTTTTTGACAATATAACATTTGAAATTTGATGTTGGAAATGGTGGGTGTGCAATTATCAAGCACTCATATGAAAAAGTATATATGTATATAACTTAAAACCGATCGTTAAAATATGGTCATTTAAATATTCACATCCTTTCATAAATTTATTCCATATTCATGTAAATGACACATCTATTACCTACTAAATCGTATCTTATCTAATCGAAACAATGTTGGACATGTTTATTATCAATATCGAAAACCGAACAAGTACAACAAATCAAGTAACAACACTCCCACGTATTAAATCCACTTTTAGAAGGAAGCAGAAGTCAAAGACCCACACCACAACAAGCGTTTCAGTTGTCCAACCTGCTGTCCCCCTCCAGATTTTCGAATCTTTCGGCACGTGCTGGACACGCGTCGCCAATCAGCGGATCGGAAGTGTTAGCTTTACCGTTATGCACTTAGCGGGCAATTAGGGCGACAAACGGAAGCGCAAGATTTTAACAAGCTCCAAGGTCTTGATTGCCTGACAATGTTTTCCATGGACAACTTTGACTTGGAGGCCACAATGGCGCGCCATTTCTTCGAGGGATCGCAGGCCACCAACGCCTCCACCTCCAGCTCCGATTATTTTTTTGGCGACGAGCACAGCTCCGAAAGCGATGACGAGGATGACGCCTACAGCAGCGGCTTCAACAGCGACCAGGAGAATACCGAGAAGACGTAAGCATGCCATCCGTTTGCATCCGGGAACCCAATTAATCGACTCCAGCTTCTCCTTATTCAGCCGGCGGAGCCACAAGCCACGGCGCTTGAAGTGCGCCTCCCAAATGGCCCAGCAGCGGCAGGCGGCCAATCTCCGGGAGCGTCGGCGGATGCAGAGCATCAACGAGGCATTCGAGGGCCTGCGCACCCACATTCCCACGCTGCCCTACGAGAAGCGACTGAGCAAGGTAATTTTAACTTCAATTTCTTTATTTTTCTACAGTCAACTTTAATTTACTACTTTAGTTAATTTACCTAATTTGGTCCAAAGAAGAAAACTTAGTCTTTAATGCTTATAAGGGTCATCTGATTTTTTAATTTCCCGGAGATTTTTTAATTGTTTATTTTATTGCACCTGTTATTACCATTTTGGTCAGATGTTTCAACAAAGTATAGAAGTCATATTTCATACATGATGAGTATGTCTGCTGATCAGCTAAAAATTAAATAAAGCTGGAAAATCGGGTTGACCTTTTAAATTTTGATTGCATATGAAAATAAATAACTCTTTTTCAGTTAGGATCAAAATATAATTCATTTAGCAAAAGGCACTCTATTGATTTAAAAGTATACTTATACTGCTTATACTGAAAAACAAAACAGGTAGAGTGAGAATAACGATCATAGAGTAGTTAAATCCAAAAACAGGAATAAACTTTGTTTGCAACTCTTATTTTCGTACCTATTTAAAATATTTTATAAAAGTTTTTAAAATAAATAGATGTTCAAGTCTGCGTCTATATACAGTAGTCTCCGATCTTGATATGCAACGTCAGTACACGTTATGCTGTCCGTAGTTAAGATAAGAACATTAGTAATTTTTGGCTTTCAGAAGTTACTTGTTCTTACTAAACTAAACGGGTACTTTACAATTTCAATTTGCCACGAAATCGTTCTCAGCAAATTGGAATAACAAATTAATATATAATTAAGAGTAATTTCTATGCCATCTCAAATTTACTTAGTAAATATGGAAGATTAGGATTAATTGTGATCCCTACAAATACAATTTCATTGAAGACACTTTAACTTCTCTTTCCAATTAATTTAGGCATAATTGTTTTCTTATGAATTTTCCTGTCTTGACATTTTAATGACTGCTTTCCAACTGCTGTCTTACATAATTAAACAAGTAGCTTTTTATAAGCGATGGTTTTGTCGTGTTTTAGTTTTAAAACTAGTTGTTAATTTTAGTTGGTAAAAACCAATTGTTTGTTAAAAAATTACACTTAAGATGTTGGAAGGATTCCTTTATAGCATGAACAACTTATTCTAAATTCTGAATGAGTGTTTTGGAAACTTTATTGTATGCTGATAGCGACGCTCTGCAACCCCTTTTAAAATGATTTCTCCTAATAAAGCTCATCAAATCGTTTTTGTTCCCAGGTCGACACACTCAAGCTGGCCATCAGCTACATAACCTTTCTCAGCGAGATGGTCAAAAAGGATAAGAACGGCAACGAACCCGGCCTAAGCTTGCAGCGCAATTACCAGAAGGAACCGCCCAAGAAAATCATCCTCAAGGATCGCAGTGAGTTGTCAATCAATCAATCGCCATGAATCGCATAGGTGGGCGGGCGGGCGGATGGTCAGTACGATCTGGTTGGTACACATTTAATAACATAATTCATTCGGGGCACTGGCCTTATTCAAAGGTTATCTGCGGATGGAGTGGGTTTCGCATCGAACGGTCCATGAACAGGGGATGCTGAGTTGCATCCTGCCATCGATTGTGGGTCTACCGTGTCTGCCTGAGTGTTACTAATTAGAATTTTCACACTTCCTTCTCCGGACTTTGGGTTCGCATTGCGGGCTTTGCGTGACTGCCAGTCAAGCAAATTGTTTTACCCATTGCCGTCGCATCGATCATCGAGGCTGTGGATGTGGCATAGCTGGGTTTACACAAGTTTCACCCGGAGCAGGGATACAATGGCTGTGTGTTAGGGATTTCCGTGTGCCAGCTCATAAAAGTTGCTTTGGTCACGGTTTTTTGGTTAATAATTTTCCTATTCAAAATGTATGACACTGCAGCCTGCATCGAGTTTTTGGGCAAAAGGGATCCTTGGGAGGCATCTGCATAGCTAATAGTCTCGGCACTTGGAAACCCGAAAGGGTGTCGATTTGGGGTTTCGCGAATGGGAAGGGTGACGTTACTTATTGAGTGTTATGTATAGTCTTTCAAAAAAAAATTCATCAGTTTTTTTAATATTTTTTGTTTCACGTGTGTCACAACAAATTTGAACTGGTTAAAACTGGTTTTAGAGTGTAAATAAGTCTCATCAGTGAAGTTATTTAACTACAATTTATTGCTTTGGGAATTGTTTAAAAAAAAATCTTCTAAAGCAGCTAAAGAAATTATTTTTGGACGGTTTGAGGGCAATTGTCAATTCCCTTTTTAAGTTTTAAAATGTATAACAAGCCAATGATTAAAAACAATTTTATAAATGGAGTTAAGTACACTAAATATATTTGAAATCTTAGGAAAGCTAAGAGCAATAGATAAAACTTCTAAACGTGTCGTCATTTCTTCGTCATGTTATTTTAAACAAGAAAGGAAGCTTCGGTCAGCCGAAGTTTATATACCCTTGCATTACAAAGATTAAATATTCTTTAAAACATCTCAATTTCGAATTAAAAAAAATTTAAGCTATGATGATTTTAAGCTAATTATTTAATCGTTTCTATGGCAGCCATATAATATCGTTTTTTGATTTGGATGAATTTAAAAGCGAAATTCTCAATTGTTCAACCATTACTATGTCCAAAAGAGTTGAAAAAATAAATTTTAATTAAAATATAATAATAATAATAGCCCGCATATTATAAACTAAAGGATTTTGTTATTAGATTATTATTAAATTTATTTTTTAACTATGCAGTGGAAAGGTTACACCTTGATTCTTGTTAGATAATATCGAATACCTGACTTATAAATAAATGTTTGTTTAGATCAATGCAACACTCTTGAAGAGTTTTCTTGCTTAAAATCAAAACGATTTTGTTTATGGTTGTCCTCCTTGTGGGCCTATTTATCAGGACTTTCGATGTAGTCCCGACAAAATGAGCATGCAAACCCTGATGTGTAATTTGTGTCTACCTGATAAAAGTCCCACATGCACACAGTACACCTTGTCCGATCCCATCTCCTCAACCACTGACACAAGGGGAGTACTTCGGGGGCGGAGGAGGCGAAGCAAACCGAACCAAATATAGTAACAATAACAGGAACAACAAAGCCCAATCGACATAATCATAGCGTGAGAAATTCGTTACCCTCCAGCAGATGGCTGCTGTCGCGTTGCCGCTTAAAGGCCAAATGGAAGGCGACCAGATCAGGACAGCAGGAACGGAGACGGGAACGGGCACGGAGACGGAGACGGGGAGATGGATTCGACCGTGTTGATGGCGAAAGCGTTTTCATGCTTAACGGGCATTAAAAATGTTGCAAGAAAAACCAAATACAGCCAAGCGAAACGTACAACGACGAAAGTTTTCCTGGGGGCAGCTCCACGAAACGCCCATTTAAATGGCTGCAAAGATGGTCGAGGAGGAGGAGCTGGGTGGATTTTGGCACGCGCCTGGCATATGTTCACACCAACTTGCAAAGATGAGGAAGCTGCGCCGGCAAGTGGTCGGGGGGTCGCATATTTGAGCAGCACCCGCATGAGGCACTCGAAAACTGCGAGAGCTACAAATTGCCCGACTGGGTGGCGTGTTGGTTCTGATTGGATATATAGTCGAAAGGGGAGGGGGGCGGAGGACACGGACTTTGCTTTATTTGTCCAAGGCAAATGACGGGGCGCTGCAGGGTGGCAGCTGCAACAACAAGCCGGGGAAATCCGGGGCATCAGCATCAACCCTTTGCCATATTTGTTTGCCCTGCGACGATGATGGGCCCGTAATGTGGTCGCTAATGGCATTTGCTCAGTTTTTGGCAACAATTTTAATTGTTTGGGCGGCGCTTGACTCTTGAAGGCAAATCGTTTCAGTTTGAGAACTCTGATGAAACCGACTGGATCAATAATTTCCACTGGAACTGCAAGAAATATTTTAGCCTGCGCCGATATTGTCTTTTTCAGTTCAATAGAATTTCAATTCAGGTTTCGAGAACAACAGTTATAAGAAATTAAATTAAATTTTTAAATGATTACTTGGATTTTTATTATTTTTTTCTAGCTTAGCTAACTTTTATACCCTTTGTGTGCAAGAGTGATTATGCTTTTAACTATTTTTCATTGTCTGATTTAGATGCACTTCACGAATTAGCGCAAAAAGAGTTATTTTAATTGTAAATAAAAATCACAATAGTCTTTAGTCACGATTGTCAAACAAATTTGTCTTAGTACATACTAATTTCGACACTGCACCTTTACCGAATTTTTAATAGTTGTGGTAAGGAAATTAAATAAAAACAAGAAAGGAAGAAAACTTCGGCAAGCCTAAGTTCATAATCCCTTGCAGCTATTGCAAAATTAAATATTCTTAAAAACATTAAAATAATGATTTACCTGTGTATATGTTTAAAAACATTGAAGCTATGATGATTTGCAATTTGATGATTATTCGATAGTTCCTATGGCAGCTATATGGTATCGTTTTCCAATTTTGATAAAATTGGGTGCGTAATTCTGAACTGTCAAATTGTTAATAAGTCAAAAAAAATTAAAAAAAAAAAACACAAAATAGAAAAGTTATATTTAAAAGAACAATTTTTTCTTAAATATTTTTATTGTTTTATTGGGAGCTTTATGTTATAGTTGTCCGATTTTGATGAAATTTTAACCGTAATTCTGAAATATTTAACCATAACTATTTGTCGAAGATCTAAGCAAAAAAATTAAAAAACAGCAAACATACTTTTTTTTATTTATTTTTCCGATTTTTTCTATGGAAGTATAAATTTACCAAATACTTTTTCTGTGCATGTTCGATTAAATTCACCTGAGTAGTTGGAAGGGGGTTAACCGACAAATCCCTTATTGGTAGATCCGGACATGCGCAGGCACCAATTCAAGAAGCATTTTGCTGTTTGGTTTTCCAAGTTGGGGAATTTGGCAATCGCAGTTATTCCTGCATTGGAAGTAGAGTAGGAATACCCGAGAATAGGTTTCTTAGTTGGCATCTCTGGCCGAAATCAAACATTTAAAAAAAAATCATTTCTTTGGAGCCATCGATATAAACTGTGTAATGTGGATTTCAAACTGGTGTTTACAGAACTTAAAAAATCTTTACTTGGAATTGTTATATATTGGTATAGACACATCGAACACTAATGTTATAGCGTAAATTCTAAACTCAAATCTGAACAGTGTGCTATATGTTTTGGAACAATCAGAGTCCGATGGATAATTATCAATTTGGTACATGCTCGTTTTTACCTTACTTAAGAAATTTGTACTGCTCCAAATTAACCAAACTGTTTGCTAACGCGTGCTCCATCCTTTATCTACCCCTTGCAGCTGGCGGTGTGGCACACTCGTTGTCCTGGTACCGCAAGGGCGATAGATACCCGGGCAGCAAGCTCTACGCCCGCACCTGGACACCGGAGGACCCCCGGGGGCCCCATTCGCAGCCCCAGCCCCTGTACAACAACAGCAACTCGAACCAGAATCAGAACCACAATCAGAATCAGAATCAGAACAGCAACCAGAGCAGCGACGAGTTCAGCGGAAGTGGAAGTGCCGATATGTCCGATCCGGGTGCGATCTTTAGCAGCGGTAGCGGAATATGAAGGCCAAGGTCCCCAATATGAACACTGATCTGAAAATGGTCAGAGAGATTGAGATGCAAGGGAAATCCTACTAGTCAAGCCCTGCTAGTCACGGCACCTAACACATATTAACCAACTTAATAATTATATGAGGAAAACAAGTTCTGTGGTATTTAATTGCTCTAAGTTCGCTAATATCTAAATGTTATACATAGTGGTTTAGTTCAAATCGAATAAACATTCAACACAAATCAACCCAACAACGCTATCTAATTGCAGTTCAAGCGGCGAGGGCAAAAGGAACAATTCGAGGATAAATTATATAGTTATCAGCACGATATATTGAACACCTGGCCTGGTTGTCCTCGTGGCCTCTGCAGCCAGCGATTGTCGATATCATTAAAAAAGAGGGACAACCGGTCGACCAACAGACAAATATCATAAAGTACAAGTGCAGTTCATTTTTTCACTTTTGGGGGTGGGTGTGAATTGTACAGTCAAGAAAAAACACACTTCAGTTATTTCTATTACTGATTGTACAAAATTTTTTTAATAAAAGTTAAAGGTATGTTGCACATTGTAAAACCAAAAGCCATTTTCTTTTTAATTATTCTTTTTTTTTTAAATTATGTGTTTTTTGATTTTATATAACTTTGAAAACATACAAATTTTTTAAAAAAATTCCATTCCCAAATAATTCTTTATTTATTTAAATAATTTGTTTCAGTGTAGGCAACGGTGTGCAGGGTACTACAACTAGAAAATTATTTCCGGTCTTCCGACATGCATGGCCCACACGCTGAACGGAATTTCCTTTAAAAAAAAAACAGGAGAAATTATTATTTTTAAGCGTTTTTATTTGGCAGTGCGAGCGTGCCATTTAAAAGATCATTATGACTGTCAACCGTCAGACAGGCAGATGTTGTCCGGTTGGTTAAGCAATTGAGATGTTTATCTGCAATTAGGATTAGCCCGTGGCTGGGGTGTTTTAGCGATGACGTGATTGAACGTTGAGATTGCGCGTCGATCCTAGTTGATATATCAATTCGATCGTATGTAAATGTATGCCTTCTGTTTGGGTGCTGCGGTCAAAGATTTAATTAACTGTCGTCGACGACAGCTGCATGGGGTTATCAAAATCTGACCCTGAGGGTGACTGTCGAAAACAAAATTGGCTAGTTTCATTTAGGTTTCAAAATACTTTGGAGTACGTAGACATGTATGTATGCACAACAAAAGCCAAAGCTTAAATTGTTGTTTATATTTAACTTGCACCTAAAACACTTATTTTTGCACTCAAAATAGCAACGTTTAATTTTTATACCCTTGCAGTGAAGGAAACGTTTTCGACCCTTAAAGTATATATATTTTTGACAAGCATCACTAGGAGAGTCGATCTAGACATGTTCGTCTGTCTGTCCGTCAGTTAGCCTGTCCCTCCGTTTCTACGCAAACTAGTCTCTCAGTTTTAAAGCAATCTGCAAGGAATTTTCCCAAAAGTTGTCTTTCTATTGCAGATAGTATATAAGTCGGAACGAGCCGGATCGGAGTACAATAGCATATAGCTCCCATAGGAAAATCGGAAGAATAAATAACAAAATATTATAACTTTGTTGTTTTTAAATTTTTTTTGTTTTGCGACATATAGTAATGGTTAAATTTTTCAGAATTACAGTTTAAATTTCAACAAAATCGGAAAAATCTCAGGAACAATCGGAAAAATAAATGAAAAAAATTATAACGTTGCTGTTTTTTAATTTTTTTTAATTCTTCGGGATATTTAAATGGTTAAATATTTCAGAATTACGGTTTAAATTTCAGTAAAATCGGACGACTATAACATAAAGCTCCCATGGGAGCAATTAAAATATTTAAAAAATAATTAAACTTTTTTATTTTATAATTTTATTTTAGAAATTTCTGATTGCCCTTGTCTTGCTGCTTGCCAACATTTTTACTGATACTTATCTCAAACCAAGCTCTAAAACAAAAATAGATTTCTTGCGGTAAATCAAATTACGAATTTGAAAGATGTATATACAGTGCGTCATATATAAATGTACCCACAACAAGTTAACTTTATTAAATCATTTGAAAGGTGTTAATGTGCAGTGGGGAAGAAAAATCATCGAAAATAAATAAATAAATAAGTAATCCCTCTGCGATAAATTTATTTGATTTAAACTGTTATTAACGTGTCAACAAATTCTGCAAGCTATGACAGTTTTTTTTTTTGACTAAATATATTAATACGCCACAAGGATGTTTTGTTTGTGTGGTAGTTATGAAGGAGTCTACAAACATACTAAGAGGTTTCTTTTAAGGTAAATGAACAGTGTTTCTCAGTTCCACGTTTTTTAACACCAAAAACCACAAATAAATATAAAAATTAAAGGTATGGCTATTTTTGAAACTATTTATACTTGGCGGGTAAGTAGTCGAGGTGGTAGCGCTGGTGCTGCCAACTAGCTTGCAGAAATGGTCAATTTAGCAGTATTTCGACGTTGTGCAATACTGCACCTGGCGCACGCTTTGAGAGTTTGTTTTGTTTCTGAATTGGAGCAATTACGTGCGAAATATGCGGTTTGCTCAGATAATTGTGGGCCCCGCAGGCAGTGGCAAGGTATGTCCAGTTACTCAGCCCCTGATTTCGTCAGTAATCCAACCCAATCCTTCCAGTCCACGTACTGCAGCCTGATGCAGCAATATGCCATGGACTCCAAGCGAAACATCCAAGTGGTGAATCTCGATCCGGCGGCGGAGCACTTTAGCTACACCCCGCTGACGGACATTCGCGAGTTGATCCACCTGGACGATGCAATGGAGGACGAGGAACTGCATTACGGTCCGAACGGGGGCCTCATCTTTTGCCTCGAGTTCTTGATCGAGAATCAGGACTGGCTGAAGGATCAACTCTGCGGGGGCGAGAATGAACTAATGGTGGGCGAGCCGGACGATGACTACATCCTGTTCGACATGCCCGGCCAGATCGAGCTGTTCACCCACCTCAAAATGGGCAAGCAGCTGGTGCAGCTGCTCGAGTCGTGGAACTTCCGCACCTGCGTGGTCTTCTGTCTGGACTCGCAGTTTATGGTGGACGGGGCCAAGTTCATTTCCGGCACCATGGCCGCACTCAGTGTAATGGCCAACATGGAGCAGCCGCACGTCAATGTGCTGACCAAAGTGGATCTGCTGAGCAGCGAGGCGCGGAAGCAGCTTGAGATGTACCTTGAGCCGGATGCCCACAGCCTGATGGGAGAGCTGACAGTGGGCACGGCCTTTGGCGAGAGGTACGGCAGGCTCACGGAGGCCATTGGCGCTCTGATCGAGGATTTCAGGTGAGCTTTACTTAAACTAGATGGTAACTTAACAATTTGCAAGGGATGTAGGCTGCGATATTCCCAATAATCTATGACCAGTGTCCAAGAATTTTTTGAGATTCTTAGTAAAGTCAGTTTTTATTCTTCGTTTGGTTTTGTGACATCTGATCGCGGGTTATTTGATTTCAAAACTAAACTTTAGGAATTTTGAAACTTCATACAATTTTTTGCTTATTTTAATGTAGCAAGTTGGAAAAGTAATTTATTAAATAAAACGAGTACGGAAACTAACTTTGGCAAGCGGAAGCTTTAAAACACTTGCAGTCGAGGTTATTTCACATTATGACAACCCATTTGCTAGGTAAAATAAAACGAAAAAATATATATTGCAGCTATAGGATATAGACGTTTGATCGGCAAGGTTTAACATAAGCAGTGCGCATATGATTCGGAAGCTATCTTTAAAGCTGATCTTGCACACTGTATCTTCAACAACAATCTTCTGGCCAAATTTATAAGACCCTCATCAAGCGCAAACAAATTGTTTAAAAGCACACTTAAAGGTTTTGCACTTTAAAATTTTGGTAATTAGCTGAAAAACTTTATTTGACGGATCGTGGTTTTTTACAAACCATCGCGGTTTCTTACAAATACACTTTCGTCACAATACATTAAATTGACGAGTAGCTTATAGCTGTGGTTTCTAAATTAATAATATATATTTTTTTTCTATAATTGGTTGTTTATTTGTGAATAACTTTCATGTTTGCTACAAGAAATGTTCATGCTATAAGTCACAAACAAGTTACGTGTTTCCTGTAAGTACTCAGGACTTTGATTATCTCCAGCTTTTCTAACGTAAAATTATTAATAATCACGATATTTAAAAAAAAAAAAACTTTGAAAACCATTAAAAACATACTTGTTCATTTCGGTGCATACTATTTTATTGTTTAATTGTACACAGAGACTGGATACAGTTGACTAATACAAAAAAACTAAACGTGATTAGTTCTTATGTTGGCAACAGCTTTCATTTGTTTGCAGAAGAAAATATTATTGACAAATTTAATCTAAAATATTTGACATTAATATAATAATATTAATATATAATATTAGCGTTAAATCTTTTCAAAAATAATATTTATTTACGTCAATACTTAAACTGATGTCTTCAGTTACAATCGGTAATATATTTTAAAAAATACAAGTAACCCATAACATTACATTCCCATTGATTAACTCGTTTCAGTTATTTTTCTGTATGTATAGAATTTGACTCTAAAACTCTTTCAAACAATTTTAAGAGTGAAACAAAAAGTATAATTTATATGTATATTATATATATGTATGTATATATATATATATATATTGAATATTTCACAAAAATTACAAAAACAGAATCTTTTTCACTACCCCGCTGATAGGGCCTTAATTCTACTGCCTCAGACTTTAGCCTTTCGCGTCGGATGGAATGGGTGTTCCATATGAGACAAATCTGGAGGATTCTGCTCGAACGCACTAATTTCCTGCATGCCACTGTTACCGATCTCCCACAGTTGCGGGTATTCCTCCTTGAAAGTGTTGTACCACTTGTGCACCAACGGGTACTGCAGCAAATCGAAATCAATCGCCTCCAAACAAAGTGTGGCCGAAATGAGAGCGAAATCGGCAATGGTTATGTTATCGCTGGCCGCGTACTTGGTGCCCGATCGCTCCAAATAGGTTTCGAACACTTCAAGTGCATTCTGGACCTTTTTAAGCGACATGGGTGTCCGTTCGTAGTCGAAGAAAATGGGTGCCATGCTGTGGGCAGAAATGGGTGCATAATAGAAACCCATGTTGAAGCACAATCGTTGGTTGATTATCGCTCTCATGTTGACGTCCTGCGGATACAGCGATGAATCCGGCGCATATTTGTCGCAAAGATATTGCATAATGGCAATGCTCTCTGATAAAAAGAAGCCATCGTCATCCAGCACGGGGATCTCTTTTTGAGGATTCATCTGAAAGGATTCACGCATTTAATTTTTTGAAAATCCTTCGCCCTCTATTATACTGCACATACCTTGGAATAGTCCTCAGTTCGATGTTCCAAGGCGCAAAAGTCGACGTTTATTAGTTGATATTGTATTTCCAAGGCCTTCAGGGTCATGCGAACGGCCAGGGAAGGCGGTCCATCGGACACGGCGTACAGTTTCATGGTGTATATTGGTCTGTGGATACAAAAAAAGCATTAGGTTTTCATTTGACTCTCGTTCGACCGGTTTGCTTGTCGGCACTAGCTTCAAAAGTGAAAGCAATTTGCGTTTACTGCCTCTACAATGAAATATATCTATTTTTGGGTTGTTTTTTGCTGCAGCTATTTTTGTTATGTTTATGTTTGAGGTCTTTGCAAATATTTTTGTCGAACATATTTATAAGGTCTTGGGTTTTGTAGATATTTTTTTAAATACTGACGATCAACCCACAATTATTGTAGTGCACTCACGCAGCTCTCAAATAAAACTGAGGTGCTCTACCAAACCAGCGGTATGTTGCAGGTGTTCATTTTAATGACAAACCAAACAAGTTTAACATATAAAAGAAGGTATAGCTATATTCGGTCCCCAAATAAATTAAATTTTTAAATACTCTTGTAGTAATTTATAGGCATAATTAGGTTTTTCTCTTTGAAATATGTCTTTTCTGTTAAATTTTTTACTCAAAGTATGAGTAGATAAAACTTTTTTTTTTATTGAAATGAAATTTATCTAAGAAAAATAAAGTAAAATCTTTTAAAAAGATCTTTACTTATGAAGTAGAGTAGTAGTAGTTTTCATATCAAGTGGCCGGCCAAGCAATATTGTTTTTAATTTTTATACTTACACAATAGAGCCATAGCTTTCCATTTCATCGGCCACTTCCTCCACAACCTCGATAATGGCATCTGTGTTGTCCACCTCCACGTACTGATGATCGCCATCCAGGCCCATGTCGTCGCCCTCCTCTTGCTCCGGCTCCTCTTCCTCCTCCTCGATGACCACATCCTCTTCCTCCTCTTGGGGGTCCACTTTGTTTAGAGCTGACATTGATGCGGCGCTGCTATTGTGACTGCCCGGTTGTCGTGGCTTCTTGTGCACCACTATGTCGCTGCTGATGTTGGAGACATTGAGCCGCTCGATCGCCAAATCGCCGTACTCCTGCTGAATCTGGTCGAGCGATTTGCCGATAAAATGGAGCGGCCGAAACTTTAACTTTTTGTTGTTCTTCTTGTTGATCTCGTTGAACAATCGCCGCTTGATGTCATCCTCGCTGAAAGGATGGCTGTGACTGTTGTACACTCGGAGAACTCGAATAGAGCCATCCTTTTGGGTGGCCGTCGAAATGCGACTCTTGCAATTGATGTCAGGTTGGCGGCTTTTAATGCACACCCAGTAGTTGCGGGAGATTACACCTCGATTTTTGGCATGGTAAATGAAGCCATCAACGCAGAGTAGCTCATGACCCTTGGCAGACCTCAGGGTACAGATCTTGGTGAGGTCCATGTCCACCTGCTCTTCCTTTGCCGGCTCTACCACATCGCGTCGCCGGCGAATGTTCGTGATCTCGGGCTGCCGCACTTTTGGCAAAGGCGTGGATGAGTAAGCAGCTTGGGACTGAGGATCGAGCTCCTCAAGAGCATCGGGCAGTATCTCGATCTTGGCGCTTATGTTGTCCGCGCCGTCCTTGAGGTACTGCACAATCATGTTCGCCTTGGAAGTTTCGGGCTCCATTTTGATGGCCCCATCGATGCTAATCACTTTTTTCATCACCACGTTGCTCGGGTCGATCTGCTCGTAACTGCCATCAACGCTCTGTTCCGGCTCAAAGGTGTCTCCTCCCTGACTGGCCGATCCCTCGTCGCTTTCGAAATCAACATCTTCGCCGTGCTCGCCCTTCAGCAGCTTGTGGGGATTGTCCTGGTCCAACTTGGCCTGCTGCTTCAGGCGACGAGTGATTTCCTTTATATCTGGATTGTGCGTGTGTTCGCCGTTGATGCGAATTACTACCGGTCCGTTCTCGACCGGATCCAGGGTAACGCGGACATGACAAGTGTTGACCTTATCACGCCTGTTGATGCAAGTAAAGAACATATGGCCATTTGACCTGCTTTGGGAATCAAAGTGATAAAGATGGCGACTCAAGCACAGCACCTTGCGGCCCTTTGCCGAGGGAAGAAATGTGAACTTGGTCAGGTCAGTTTCCGTGAGAGGATTAAAACCCGGCGGAGGGAGGTAGTTGGCAATTACATCGAAGGCCGCTGGCCACTTGGCGTTGTGCCCCAACTTAGAGTCCACCACTGAAGACTCGTCCTCCCCTTCCTGACACTCGATCTCTTCGTCTGCGTGAATCTCTCCACTTTGGTCTTCATCCGTCCTCGTGTACACATCGTAGTTATCTTCGCACTCTTCTATTATGATGGATTCCAAGTCATCACACCTCTGGGTGGCATCGAATGTATTTTCTGGATCAAAGTATTCAAGATTCGGGCATTCTGCCAGCACATCCGAGGTCTGCTCGTCCTCAACCAGAACAATCTGGTGCTTGGAAAACATGTGCATGAGCTTTGCGGCCGAATAGTGCGGATGAATGTGTGCATCGGAGTCGACGGCGTGCAGTCGATGTGCCCCCGCCAAAGTTGCCTCTGTGCAGATCCTAGCCGTACACTCGATGTCGCGCTTGCGCACACAGGTCCATCGGAAGATGTCGCCCTTGTACGACTTTCCGGCCAGGTAGTACAGGTGACCATCGATGCAGACCATCACGCGGCCATCTCGGCGTCGCAACATGTACACACGGTCTTTGTCCTGCCAAAGAGAAATTGGTAATTAGTTTGTTTCTAGGTTTTTGTAGTATTTATATGCATTTTTAAATTGTATATTTAGTTTTTAAACAACATATTCATTTATAAACCAGTGTTTATATCTCAACAGCTACTACTGCTTAAGGTGAACTATCTTTCAAAATTACTTTTATTTAATGCTTGTTTGTATTAAGCAAAAAGCCTAGATTTAGGAATATTTTTAATCAGGGAATGACATTATCTAACTAATTTTATTTTACTTGGTTAGGGTTCTATATGTAACAGTCTATCTTTAAGATAGTTTTTACCGTATACACATGGATTCAGCATATTATATGCCCGGTTTCTTGTCCACACAGCAAGCTAAAAGTAGTTTTTAAGTTCAGAAAACGTATTGGATTTTGCAGACTTAAAACTTTTTTTTAGCTCACTATGAGGACGAGAAAACTGTTCTCGGGTTCTGTTAATTCCCGTACAGGTAGCATGTCGTTCAAATCACTTAAACCACATTTCGAAATAATCCCTAATAAACAGTAATGCCTGGTATTTTAACCATTTAATGACCAAAAGTTTGGTATTTTAAATAGTCATTTTTGAAAGTTGGGGGAACTTATATGTTGTTATATTTACTAACACTAGGAGGGCTCAGTCCCAGATGTAAAGGTATCTAAGGAACTTAATGAAATTTTATTCTAATATAACGAGTTATTATATCTACTATATCTATCGACTATCTTTCATAGTCTTAAATTAATGCCGGACTTAGGCCCGTGGTGTTAATATATTTTAAACTGGTAACGAATTACCAAAGCTCGATTTTCCTACTCAGGGGCAGAAACTAAAGGCAGTTAACTACTTCAATTAATTGAAACATAAGAAATGTCCTGATAAATGTTAATCAATAGAGGATAATTCATATTAGGGTTCCGCATCTAAAGAATTATTCAGTTCGAACTCAATGAGGATTGCAATAATTCGATTTAGATTCGTATATTAACCAAAAATGGATTGTCAGGGGCATAGACCAGGTACAGTAGACCTGCGGTCGTACCTCAAAGTCCAGCTGGAAAGAGGCCTCGACGGCGGAGGTGTCGATGCCGCCGTAAATAAACTCCGGCGGATTCATGCCGGCGTTGGCGCGCTCGTACTGGCGGGCTCGCTTCGGCTGCGTGGTGCTGTATGCGTCGTTCATCATCATTACGGAGAGCCGCTTGCGCTGGGCCACCTTGTTGACCTCGTGATCACTGCATCGCGGATGGATGTGGGCCAGGACCACGTCCACGACGACGTGGCGCGTCTTGTCCAGCGGGTCGGGCAACAGGGTGCAGATGCGGGACTTGCAGGGGGTGGCCTTGTCCTTGCGGCGGTTGCATAGCCAGCGGTAGGTGTTGTTGCGCCCGATGCGATCGAAGTGGTACAGGTAGTCGTCAACGCAGAGCATATCCACGCCCTTGGCGGACCGAACCACGGACACCTTGGACAGGTCCATGCCATGCTCCTCGACGGACGTCTCCATTTGAATTCCTGCGGTGGTTCGCCGGGGACGGGAATTCAGCGTTTTTCGTTTTGCCACCGAAAAGTGTTTTGTATCGTAAATTAGGCGATTTTTGTAGATGGCTGCTGCCTGGGATTTGCGTTGGTTGGGATTTTTGGTGGTATTTCGTCGGCTCACTATTCGCGCGCGTTTTGCAATATTCGCACTATAATCGGATATACACTGATTTATTGCATTTAGGTGCACCGAATATGGTTTATTTTTAGTTTTTTTCCGTCTGATTTTAATTGCACAAGCACATTTTCATTTGCGTCGCGTCGAAAAATGCTTTTGTGTGAGAGACGAGGGCTGCGAGCGATGCGCTGGCGTCGGGGGTTGCCACTCGTTAGATTCGGTTATTCGTATTTATTGTTTAATTGTAATAAATGTTTTGTTTAATATTGTTTTTACAGTTTGGTGCGATTTTTCCCTTTGGATTCGCAGGACGAGGAGAGCGTGGGCGATCTTTTACTGCAAATAGACAATATTTTGCAATACGGCGAGGATGCAGACGTGAACGTGAAAGACTTTGATGAGCCGGAGGAAGGCGATCGGGATATATAAGATCCAAAAATATTACTTTTTAAGTGGTTTTTCATAATATTGTGTGTGTTATAAAATAAAATTATAATTAATTAACCTGAGTATGAAAAATTACAAGCCAAAGTTAGTCGCCATCCCTGGCAGCAGTGCTGCCACCTGTGAAACGTTTTACAACACTATTTTCATCAGTTTAAATTCCCATACGCGTACTGCGTCTAAACAAAAAAGCAAACAAATAGAGCCAATAAATGTTAAGCAATTATGCCAAAGACTGACGGAAGTCCCATTGGAAAGTCCCTTACGCAGGATGCCATCGCGCAGCGTCTGGCGGCACTTAATCGCTGGCAGGACGAGCAGAAGCGACTCTTGCAGGAGCGTCAAAGCAATCAGCGCGTTTTGCTCGGCTTGGAACAGCGCAATATGTACAAAATGCTGGGATTGCTGCACCAGGAGGCTGAAAGCCCGGAGAGCAGTGTGCTGAAGGAGTCGCAGTGGGACGAGGATCATTCCATACAAATGCCACGCCTCACGGCGGAGCAGGACATCCAGGAACCGGAAGTTCCTAAGACAAGTCCCCAGCCAGCCAAGCCCAAGCGTCCTTTCCTGCGCCGCGGCGAAGGTCTACAGCAGCGCTTCAAGATCAATCCGGACCAGCTGCGCCTGGAGAACCTGCCGCGCTACAAGTACGCCAATGCCCACCCCCAGTTTCGCACGCCCAAGCAGCAGAAGAAGGGTATCCTGAAGAAGCAGCAGGCAGAAACAGCTCCACCTTCGACAGCTCCTGCTCCGACAGCTCCTGCTCTCAAACCTCCAGCACAAATCGATCTCAATGAGCAGCGCTTCCAGCAGGTCCTAATAAACTCAAAGAACGTCTGCAATTCCACGCCGGATATTAAGTCTTCCTATGCATCCTCCACCACAGCCTCCAGTATCTCGCCGAGGGTTCGATTTGTAGAGCAGAGGAACAGAGCCGGGCAGACCACGCATGCGGATGATGAAGCCTCCTCGGAGGCCAGTCCATTGACGGGAGTTTGCTGGGCCAAGGTGTTGGACACACAGAGCATTAAGCCTGCTCAAATCCAAAGACGCTCAGCTCAAATCAGAGTGGAGGACGACAGCAACGTTAGCATATTTGAGCTTCTCGAGCAGAAGGCCACGGAGGGCAACATTGATATGAACTCCAGTTGCATTCGCACCTTCATGGCACGCAAGGATCAGCGCCGTATTATAGCTGATGACTCCGATCACATTGTGGTCACACAGCAGGTGCGCCAGATGCGATTGCAACCGCAGGTAGACCAGGTGCTGGTGCACGAATTGGATGAGGAGGAGGAGGATGACGAGCAGCCGTCCAGTGACCAGACCCTGACAGCGACACCCTTGCAGATGGGAAAAACGCAAGTGCGAGTGCGCTTTTCCGACTCCAATGATACCCAGGAATACTCTGATGCTACCAGCCTAAACGACGGCTCCAATGTTCAGCTCTTCGAACAGTTCAAGTCCGCTCTCTTCCAGGCCTTAGAGCAGAAGAAGAAGTCAAGTCCCAGCCAGCAGAAAGAGGAACCCCTTACCCAAGAGCTACAAGAAAAGGCTAATCTCGTGCGCACACGGCTCGAGGAACTTGAGGCCGAGATAGCCACCTTTAAGGCGCAGAACGCCGAACTGCTCCGACTGAAGCAGCAGCACGAGCTGGAGCAGGCTAAATGCACGCAGGATCACATGGAGGCGATGGAACGCGTGCACGACGAAAAGATTCAAGCGGAAATCTACCTGCATGACGAGCGTATGAAAATAGAGGAGGAGCGTCGCAAGTTCGAGCAGCAGATGCGCCTCCAGAAGAGCAATGCAAACAGCAAGGAAAAGAAGGAGATCGCCGCCTTGAAACAGGAGTTGGAGGCACTGCAGCTGCAGCTCAAGCAGAAGGAGACGAACCACGTTTCGGCACAGGCACGACTCCGAGCTCAACTGCGGGCCAGTGAGAAGGAGCAGCGCAACTACCGCGACGAGATCGAGCTGCTGAGCAGGGAGAACAAGCGTCTGGAGCAGGAGTTAGTGAGGATTGGCCGTGAGAACAACAGCAAGATGCTGCAGGAGATCAACCGAAACATTGCCCGTCTGGCACCCAAGGTGGTGAGTTCGAACTAGACCGGCTCTAATTGGCTGTACCGGAACTAAACTAATACCTTCTTTCAGTTGCCTTCTGCCTCTGCGTCGCAACCCCTCGACGAGAACGGACGACGCACCCAGTCTCTGGATGGCACTGCTGCTAAGCCAGCAGTTAAGCAGCGGGATGCCTCACACCGTCGCCAAAGCAGCGGCACTGCCCAAGCTAGGAGCCGCAGTCGCTCCCTGGGCAGAAGCAAGAAAAAGCCAGAGGCTTTGGATGAGAGCTACGCCTCCAGCAGCTCTGGGGATGTGGAGGAAGTTCTGCCACCAGTGGCAACTGCCGCAGTCGATCCCCCAGCGACTGCCAACTCCAGCAGCGACTTCAAGCGGGAGATAATGAATGCGGATGGCAGCAGGGACATTTGGTACCCGAACGGCAATCTTAAGAAGATCAGCGCCGATGGCATGAACGTTCGCATGCTGTACTTCAACAAGGACATCAAGGAGACGGACATTAGGGAGGGCACCGTGAAGTATTACTACGCTGAGACCAACACGTGGCACACTTCCTACCTGGACGGTTTGGAAATACTAGAGTTTCCCAACGGACAGACCGAGCACCGCCGCAAGGATGGCACCATTGAGATCCACTTCCCCAACAACAGCATCAAGGTGGTTGACCCCAGCGATGCAGAGAAACTAGAGGAGTGGCGGTATGCGGACGGCACTCACTTAGTGCAGCTCCGGAATGGCGACAAGATTCTGCATCTACCCAATGGCCAAAAAGAGATTCACACAAAGCTGAACAAGCGAAGGGAGTACCCGGATGGCACTGTCAAGCTGGTCTATCCGGATGGCAGCCAGGAAACGCGCTACTCTAATGGTCGCGTCCGCCTGAAGGACAAAGATGGCAAGCTTATCATGGACACAGACTATGCTAAGTACTAGGGACGACGGGTCGCTTTCTCCGTTGTAAATTAAAGTTTTTATTAAATAGACAAGTCTCCTTGATTTTAAAACTATATATACTTATGGTCGAGTGGGGCTTAAAGGATATGAGGTGTTGATTTATGGATCTGACATTTATTTTGAATTTATATTTTATTTAGTTCTTTATACATTTAGTCATACACTTTCAATTTAAATAGAACATATGCTTAAACTTAACCTTACTTAAATTGTATTAAACGTTTTGCAGTTCTCTAGATTTTGAAATTAAGTAATCAAAAGTAATTTTTAAAACTTTACATAGCTAAGCAGAGTTTTAAACAAATTTCGTAAATTTGATAAGACATAGTCTTGAAAATTATAAAACAACTTGATTAGTAAACGAGTTCATAAAGCAGTTAAACTTCATTTAAACATAAACTTAATTTGAAGTTATCAAGTTCGAAGATCAGAAAATAAACTCGTGGTTTTCATCTAACTTAGTCTTGTTAAATTGCCAGTTTGACTATTAATACTCGAAATTGTAATCTTTATAAGCACAGGAATTAAAGGGCTATTTTTGGAGTGAATTGAAACCAATAAGAAGTAAACAAGCTTCAGAACAGCACAGTCTATAAAGATTAAATTATTTGATGATATGCTTTAAAGACAAAGGGAAAATTAGTAAATTGTTAATATGATAAAAGCTAACAAACGAAGATTTATGTGGTTAGGAAGTTGCAGCTCCTATTGCTCAGCACTAGCCCCCTCCTGGGCCATGGTGAGGTGGTGTTGGAAGACCTTTGGATCCTGTTTTAGGAGCTTGGAGCCAAACTGCACGATCTGTTCGTAGGTGAACTCCGCCTTGGCACGCGGTCCCCAGAGGAAGAAGGTCTTGAAGTCGTCGTAGGCGCTCAGTTGGGAGCGCTCCCGCTTCAGGTACTGTTGCTTAACGAACGTCTCCTCGATCTGCTTGCGCACACTGGCGCCAAAGTAGCCGTGCTCCTCGTCCGTCTGGATGTTCAGCATCTCCAGCATGGCGTACAGCTTGGAGTCCTCGATGCGGTTGCCACGCAGGAAGATGTACATGAGGATGATGTACAGCAGCGTGAACTGGGGTCTCTGTGCCGGCGTCAGCTCGTGGATGGATGCCACCGGCTCCTCCGCAATGCAAATGAACGTTTTGGAAGCCGCATCCAAGGGGGTGAGCAAAATACCAAACCGCTTGGCCAGCAATTCAGTGACCAGCGGGAGTCGTTTCTTCAGCTCGTTCCTGTCGCCTGCCGCTGGCACCAAATCCTTGTCCTTGATGGGAATCTTCTGGGCTGTGTGATCCAAAATGTAGTTTAAAATAGCGCGCACCTTGTCGTCCACTTCCCTAGTGATCTGTGTTGGCTGCGAAAGACTGCCATTCTGGCTTCTAGCTGCGCGGGAAGTGCTGGCCATTTTTGTGTGATCTGATAACCTTCTTATTACACTCAAATTCTTTCGTTTCCTCGAAATTCCACTTGAAAACAATGCAATTTATTGCGCTTTTATAATTAGTGTGACCAAATATAAGTGAGAGCTGTCAGAGTATGGATAAAACTATCGATAAAACCAACTGAATCCTGCATTTTAAGCTCTGCATTTTTTACTTAAAAGATTTCAGGATCAAAAATGTTTTTAAAAAATAATAAAAATAAATGGGTTGCCAAAAATCTAATGCAATTTATAAAAGTTGTTATTGTCTAAATGGCGGCAAACCGAAATCGATAAGTCGACCCCCAAAACCTATCGACAGTTGTTGGTATTAACAATTGCTATCGACAGTTGGTTAGAAAATACCAAATTGGCGCGATAATTCAAATTGAAAAATGCTGAATTCGTGTCTTTTTTTTTCTATCCTTTCTCGATTTGCTTTTTTTCTCATCTCAAGTGCAAATGGCCACTTAATGCGCTCGATTAATCGCACAAACTGGGCCAAGAGCGGCTGAAGTGCTTTCTTTAGTGGGCTAATATTGATTGATTTCCTTGAGCTGGCAGCCTTTTCCCTTTTCTCTTCTACATTTAGTTTTTAGTATAGTGGCAGCCATGCAATTGTATAGAAATCCTACCTAAAGCCAATAAGTTCGTAAAATATACATACCAGTTCTGCAATTTTATGGGCTTGGAGCCTCGGGAGCTGATGTGTTTTTAATTAAAATGGCTAAATCGCCGCGACGTGCAGCAGCAGGAAGCAAACAACTTTCGAAACTAAACGCAATGACATGCACGGTCAACATTCCCCACGGAGACTCAAAATAAACAGAGCCGCAGTCAAACAAAACGAAATGGGAATGGAAATTGAAATGGAAATGCATTTGCGCAGAGACACGCGCAGGAGTGCACTTCCAGACGCAAGTGCAAACGCAAAACGCAGACGGCGGCCGGTGGGGAATCGCATTGGCATGGTCAAATATATTTTATTGCCTTGAAATGTGTGTTTTAGGTGGCCGAGGTGGAAACTTGTTACCTGCGTCGGCGCAAAGTGCTCAATCCATGGGTGATAGATGCAAGTTATCCAACCTGTGAAACCAGACCACTTATGGCTTTTATAAACAATAATTTCAATCTCTGCGTTTGGTTCTGAGGTCCGATCTTGGTTCCCCAGCTAAATTAAAGAAATCAAAATTTAAGTAAACATCAGCTTCAAATTGCATCGGTCAGCATAATTGAATTTCACAATGAGATGCTACAGTTTCATCTTTAGCTTTTAATCTAAACATTATTTGAAGTTCTAACAGTTCAAAAAGAAAAGCTTCTAGCCGAGGTTCGTTGGATTTGATTTAAGATTTGAGAGTCAGTCCTATTTTGATCGAGACCGCGACAAAGTTGTATTGTGTTATATTTTTATATTTTTTTTCTTGAAATTTCCGGAAGAATAATAATTTGCACGTTCGGAAGGCAGACAAGTGTTGACTGGCCAGGCGGCGAGCTTTAATTGATTTGCCATTGTCCCGCCTAAACAAAAGCAATTCCTCAGAGTTCAGAAATCTATGTGAGCCTTTTGTTCGGACGGAATGGATATCCGCAACCGCCGGTTCTGCAATCTTGAGGCTCCAGAATTTGCATGCCAGCAAGTGAAAAGGCCCAAACTCGGCTGAAACCGCGAGTGAGTGAGTCAACAAAACGCATTGTCAATAGCTGGCATTTGACTTTCTACACACAGACGAACGAACAGTTTTGCTTTCAAAATGCGCATTGTAACACGGGGTTTGTCATCTCCAGCCCCAACTTTTTTATGACCGGCTAATTGTAGTCAGACTGAGTCGGAGAAATGTTTCATTTACTCTTCGTAGTGTCTGCCGAAAAGAAAGTCAAGGTCTTGGCGCGAACTTGCTTTGCAGCTCTGGCGTTTGGGGGCCATTAAAAATTAGCAAATGACATGAGCATGCCATTTAGAAGTTTCATGATAAACAAAAACCCATGACCAGTCGATAGAGTAACGACAACGGGTTTTTCTGCTCGCCGTGGTGGCAAAAACTATTAATAAATTAATAACAGAATCACAGCAGCAATAATGTTTGTGCACAAAAAAGAAAGCTAGCAAAGGTATGTGAAGAGGACCAATGCTCTGTAAGATTTGGGTTTATTGCTTATTAAATGGTTAGTCTTTAACTATTTCCAGCTCTTTGCCTTAAAAGAAAATATTAGAAAAAAAAATTTATTTAATATAAAATTTTAATTTTTAAAGACGTTGTATTTTAAGGACCGTTTCAGTATTTTTTTTTTTTTACAAAAAATATTTAAGTAATAAGAAAATTCATTTTTGAAAAGTACTAGTTCTTTTTTTTACCAATTTTATAATAAATTTATCTATGTAGCAGCCCTTAAAATATGTTATCTAGTGTTAAACAAATTGTGTTAATTTATTACAACCTCCTTAAGTGAGCTGATAGCCCCGATTCTGACTGCTCTGGATCGGAATCGAGAATATAGCAACAAAAGCCGGCTATTGTTGATTCAGTCTAGTTGCGTGCTGTTCCCAAAAGTGGACTGCCTTCAGCGGAGTGGTTTGGCATTCTTGTTTAGCAGCTGCCGCTCGTGGCCAATCCAGCCGATCGGCCGATCAGCTTTAGCCCATGGCTTGCCACCGGCACTTCGATTAGATTATGATTTGCGCCTCTCTCAGAACGACCAGTTATCCGCTAAATGTCAATGGGGCTCGGGCCCACAATTAAAGACTTGATTCTAATAGAGTGTCGTTGTGTGGAGCTATAGTTCTGTTCCGAGACAAAAGACTTGGACAGCAAACTTGCTCAGAAGATGTCGCCGGCTGCTTAATTAAGAGGTCGAATGAATACACCCAGGCCATGGCCTAAAATATGGCTGACCGGATTTCGTTGCCTTTTGACCTTTTACACTTAATAAACTTCGATGCAAACTAGACGCCAGCCCCTGATAATCAAATTAAACGCTTATCAGTCAGTTTGCCAAACGGCTGCAACAATCGTCGCAATTAAAGTTAGACAAATGATCAGTGACTCGACTTCACTTGGGGGCCAAGTTCACTCGTGCATGCCGAATCGCGTATACGCACCGTGTGACGACATCGAACTGTAGCGGATCTAAAGTTTATGCGTATTTTTAATGCTATGATATTTGTTGCTTAACGAGGGTTGCTTTCGTGCATTTTTAAGCATTCCTTCAAGAGCAACAGGATTCCGCTTGTAGGAATATATTAGTTTTTTTTTTTCATTTAAATGACTAATATGCATTTGTTTTTATTTGAACATGTTATTCGCTGGTAAATATTTTTGAAGGTCATTGGGTATTTATTTCTTTGCATCTTTCTGGGTCTTCAACTTGATCTTTTCACTGCCTTTGAGTTTCGCCTTCGTGTGTTTTTATTGCTCTCGAGATTCACAATCTCTCGCTCGGCCTGCCATTCTAAATGGTTTATTAATTTTTATAGCCCGTGATTCGATGACTTTGAAGTGGGCCAGCATGTCTCAAATCCACAAAACGAAACCCACATTACCTCAACGTTTGTATAAGCATTAAATAATTATTAATTATATCATAAATAGCCATGACGCTTTGTAAACAATTAAGCGTTAAATTCAGTGTCTGTGGCCGGACAAGTTGGTCAAAATTAATGGCGTTTCGGCTGACGCTTGATGAAATTCCCATCTATTGAGTCATTCGAGGGCCCCGAAAAGTTCCTCGTAATTCTCCACGCATGCCAAATGCCAAATAGTTTATGCTCAGAGTTAATAAAAAGTCAGTTAGGGTTTTCTCGAACACACGTTTTTGGTGACGTTTTCAGCTCACCTTGCGAACGGCTTTTGAGCAACCGTATCACCTGAGCCAAAATCTGAATCACATTTGCGCATTTTGTATGCAGTCGACGTCTTTGTGACAACAGCCTTGAGCCCCATACAATTTGCATGAGAGAGTGCCAAAAAAAACAACAATAACCAATAAATTGTTGCATAAATCGCGGCCGGCTTCCTGTGTGAAAAACTTTCACAAGCCGTTTGCCAAAAGGCAGAAATTTATTATAATTATTATTGAGCTTGGTGTCATGTTATACATGCATCATTTTAATGGATATTGCTACGCCGAAAAACACTGGTTGCCTAACGATCGTGAGAGATCTGCACTGGAAATCATGGTCATGGTCAGCTTGAACAGTAAGACAGTCCAGTGCGTCAACGAATAGTTTTATTTATCGTTAAAACTTATACATTCCAATATTTAAGCCGGTGTCATAAAAAATCAATTGAATTTTATGACTGACGTTTTATATTTTAATATTTGGTTTCCCATAATAAAAGTTTTTTTTATTAGTATGGTAAATTCATTTAATTTATTGATTGACCGTTTTTTACAGTAATTTCACACTATTCCATTTTTTATAATAAATAAATGTGTAGATAAAGTTAAACCTTATAAACTTTTTATGGCATAAATTGATAGAACTTAAAAAATCAAACCCAAACTTAGCTTCCTTGGAATACTGTAAATTGGTATTGCAGATTAAAATAATAATAATAAAATAAGACTGGGATTAGACAGTTAAGCTACTTATTTATCCCTAAATTCAATTTATGTTTTTTCAACAAAAGAACCGAACCGAAGGTCAAGAAAATAAAATTCCCAGGGTAAGACTCTTGAGTCACGAGTCGAATATTCAAAGAAATTCTGTTAAGCCAATTTAAATCCCGCCTGTGAAGATTATGCAGCACATATGATGTCATGTCTTCGAAATGAAGTTTCGGTTACTTTTGAGCTTGAGCTTGGATATTGTTGTGTTGTTTATCAGCATCTGGATATCGGTTGGGCAGGCGCAGCGGCCTTTTTGAACGCATTTCATTAGCGGCTCTATATATGTGTGTGTTTATGTGCAGGCTTTGGGTATATTATGTGGCTGTAGTTGTCTGAGCGGTGTCTGCATTCACAACCGGTGTGGCTGTCTTCGCACCGGCTTACCTTTTGTTTGTTTTATATATATATATATATCCGAGATGTGGCCGTAAGTGTGTGCCATATGTATACATGTCTCTCCGCTTCGGTCTCAACGAGTCTGCATTTA